TAAACAATAATCTAGTGATGTTTACATGTTCCCGTAAAATTATTCTTTTTGTCATCCTTTTTTCGTATCCCTTCAAAGATGCATCTGAAATCTTATCGCTGGCTTTCTATTAGAGTTTTATTTTATATAAGAAATATTTCAACAATGTAAGATCAATTATTATGTGTTAAATATATTGTGCATAAAACATATTTTACACAAAAGAAATTTATATTCAGAATGAAATAAAAATATATTTTTAAATATTTAATTATGATTGCTTCTTTATATAATTAACATGTTTAATTCAATATTATATACATTTAACTTAAAACACATACAAATTTTCATATATGAATTTTTACATATACGTTATTATAGGAGATATGTTGGGTCGTGTTGTAAATTAATTTGCAATCATAATTCACAGTTGTCATTTTTCCAGTTTTCAGCTAAAAATTTGGGCATGGTGGCAATCGTGAATTGCAACGTGATTATAAGGCCGGATTTCCGTCCGCCGGATCAGACTATGCATTGAAAATTAAGATTGAAGATAGAAAGATTGAATTTTGGCTAATTAAAGTAATAGGAACTAAAATTCCTTTACCCTCATTGGTCAAATTTCAATTTTCAATCTTCAATCTCAATTTTCAATGCGTAGACTGATTCCGGCCTTGTATTATACATTAACTACAATATGACAAATACCATAAATTTTAAAGAAAAAAAGAGAATTATGATTTTTCTGAATTTTATTTAATATTTTTATAATGTTTTAGGTATCTAACTTAGTAAACTATATAAAATTAGAAAAGTATAATAAAAAAATATAACGAATAAATTGAATAGTTGAGCAAAAAATTTTCATATAAAATAAATAAATATAACATAATGTATGCATGCGTGCGTGCTTGCGTGCGTGCGTGTGCGTGCGTGCGTGTATGTGTGTGTGTGTGTGTGTTTCCAAATTTGATACATTTCATTAGAATAAATCACTTCATTAAATCAATCCAATTGTATTCATTTATAAGACTACGATTAAAAAAATTAGTTCTAGCTGTAATGTTAGTTAAGTTAAGATGCATTGTTTCCTTAAATACAGGTATCCCTTCACTATGCCATGGATCAGATGGTAATTGTACCTCCATTGTGGTGGTAACATTAAAATTATCATCGCTTACATTCATTGTATGGGTATATTTTGCCTGTAAAATTTATCAGCAAAAACATTAATTTTATGCAGAAAGGTTGAAATCATAAAATAAATATGGCAATATACTATATCCAGTATTTTTAATAAAAAGTCATTACATTGTTGAAGATATGGTAAACACACATTTATATTATATTTTACGTAATTACTATATAATTCTATTATTGTGCATACTTTCTCTTTTCCTTCTCTCAATAACATCGAAATATATTAAAAAATTAATTATAGAAAATTATTTAAACTATGACGTAAATAATTATTTGTTATTTCTATTTATTGTTAAAAAACTAGAATAAAAAATATAAAGATGTAAAAAAGTATACGTATACACACCACTTCCATCCCATTCAAGAAATCCCTAAATGGCAAAAAATATCGACAGTCCTGTCTGTTCTTCTCAATATGTACATGTCCATATACATTTTCTTCATGATCTTCGTTTTGCTTAGTATTTTCGTTATAAGCAGACATGTTTAATAATATAATTTGCTGCCCCAAATTTTTATCGTATTTAATATCGTGTGTAATAATTTCTGAATTTACATTGAATATCGTCTTGCAAGTACCTAGTATTGACTTTTCATCTACAGTAGTATTAGAGATTATTTCATCACCAATGTGAAATTGAAAAGCAATCTCTTTAATTAAATCTTTTTTATCAGTTGTTGAATTAACATATATATTCGTTAAACCACGATTATTAAATTTAATCATAAACCAATCATCATTGTTCCGGTATTGTTCGTGTGCAATCACGTTTGTAGTAGCGAAATTTTTATATAATAATTTTGAGAGAATATCAATATCATGCAAAAGACAGACAAGCGTATTGTTTGTCTCGATCTGACATGCTATTTCTGCAATATATTCTGTAATTTGGAGAGGATTCCTGAATACCGTAATAGTTTTTTTAATATAGTAATTGAATTCTAGATCTCTATGGAAAGGTTGGACATATACTCTGAGTCCTAAATAAATAAAACATTTAGTCAATATCAATATAGTATATAGAATATCATGTATTATTATAGAAAATAATCTTTTAAAATTTGTATTAGGTTGTTCTAAATGTTCCTTTGATTTTTTCTCACTTCATAACGTAAAAGTGTACGTGTGTGTGTGTGTGTGTGTGTGTGTGTGTGTGTGTGTGTGTGTGTGTGTGTGTGCGTGTGTACAGAGTATCGAGAAAAAAACAAACAATACTTAAGGGGAGATTCTTGAGATCATTTTGTGACAAAAATTCTAATACCAAAATGTTGAAACTATAATAAATTTTGAATTATAAGCGTTTAAAATTAACGAATCATATATTGTCTAAAGTTGGCGCACTTAGGAGCAGCACAACGTAAAGTACTAAACGCAAAACCTGACTTATCGGAAATTGTTCTGTATATCTGCATGAAATTTCATAACTCTCTTTGCGCTAAATATATATAATTTATTTTGTAAATTAATTATTATTTAATTAATAAACAATATCAAATCTTATTAGGATCGTGAGAGAGTCCAATTTTATTAATTTCATTAATAAAGTTGTACAAATAATTATAATTGTTCATAATTAATAATTTTATAATATTCATATAAGTTCTAGTTTCTCCGGATTATTTTAATAATAAAATGTTTAAAGTGTATTTGAACAATGCACTAGGACTAGAATAAAATATTAATGGAATAAAATCTTATATACATTCATATATGTAAACCTAAAATCATATATTGCAAGTGATAAGTTTTCGCGTTTAGAACTTTGCATTTTGTGCCGCTTTTGAGCCCACCAATTTTAGAAAATATAATTCGTTAATTTAAAAATCTTAAGTTATAAAATTATCATAGCTTCAACATTTTGGTATTAGAATTTTTGTTTTAAAATGATCTCAAGAATCTGTCCTTAAGCGTTCGTCTCTTTCTTAAACATCCTGTATATGTCATTCTGCTATATTATTATAGCTTCTCATTGCCTAATGTCGTTTTTTTTATATTCCTTTGTTTTATTGGCAAAATACTGATTGAGATAATTTTTTATGTCTTTCAAAAAACTGAATTTTTTTTATCACAAAGAGAACTTTTTTAGAGAAAGAAATAAATTAAGTAAAATCAAAATTAAGGAATAAGAAAGATTCAGAAGAGACGATCAAGAAATTTAAAAAGTTAAAAAAAATGGGAAAGAACATCTGAATCAAATGCCAATAGTTTATTTTAAAGAAATATTTCTTTATTTTATTATAAAAATCGAGATATATATGTGTGCACTCTTTTGTCATTTGAGCCAAATTCTAATAGAGCAAAATGACTCGTGTGTGTATATGTGTGTATAGAATTGTCTAAAAAACAATTGTAAAAGACTATTATCCTAAAAGACAATAAAAAAAGATAATAATTTTATTGTTTTTTTTATTTTATGAGCAACACAATTTATTGAAATATATTCAGTAAATTGTGTTGTTCATAAAGTAAAAAAAAAAACAAAAAATTTATAATCTTCTTTTATTCTGTTTTAGGACAATTAATTAGTGTAGCGTAACAATTTTTATATTATACCATATATATAGTTACAGTATTTCGATTTTTTTTTTTAAAGTGGATATAAATTAAGGCTTGGCACTCTATGAATGGTCATTGTGGATCTATGTTTTTTACTTTTTAGTAAGAGATATTACGTATAAAAGTTACATTGAGACTTTATGCACAACTAATAAAAACATGATATTAAACACATTGAATTCAAACACTTTTAGCTTACCCAGCAAGAATGGGATTATTATGACTAGCGTCTGCATGTTGATAGATACTTCCAATTAAGACACATCCGTTTAATATTACTCTTTTGTCACTTGTGACTCTATATCGCAGAACATGTTCATCAATTCACCTTCATGTAGAAAATATCACTTTAAGTCTGTTTGTAGTTACGAATGTACAATATCATTCCAACGGTGACTCTGATGGTCTCTTTAACATAAACAATAATCTAGTGATGTTTACATGTTCCCGTAAAATTATTCTTTTTGTCATCCTTTTTTCGTATCCCTTCAAAGATGCATCTGAAATCTTATCGCTGGCTTTCTATTAGTTTTTATTTATATAAGAAATATTTCAACAATGTAAGATCAATTATATTATTATGTGTTAAATATATTGTGCATAAAACATATTTTACACAAAGGAAATTTATATTGAGATTTGAAATAAAAATATATTTTTAAATATTTAATTATGATTGCTTCTTTATATAATTAACATATTTAATTCAATATTATATACATTTAACTTAAAACAAATATAAATTTTCATATATAAATTTACATATACGTTATTATAGGAGATATGTTGGGTCGTGTTGCAAATTAATTTGCAATCCCATCCAATCATGATTCATAGTTGTCATTTTTCCAGTTTTCAGCTAAAATTTCCGGCATGGTGGCAATCATGAATTGCAACGTGATTATGTAAGGCCGGATTCCGGCCGCCGGAATCAGACTATGCATTGAAAATTAAGATTGAAGATTGAAAGATTGAGTTTTATTTTTATTGCTTAGACTGATTCCGGCCTAAATGTTGGTTGCCTGGCCAATAAAAGCAAGAAGAAGAAGAAGAAGGCGGCAAATGTTCAAAATATGGAGTGAGTCCACGTTCTCGATGTTGTATTCTTTCAATGGCTACTATGAGAGTCAGGTGATGCGAGTAAACAAATCTGATTTTGCGTTTCAATACGTTTTATGCACTTTCTTGCGTAAAACACAAGCTGGACAGGTTGGACTTGACCGTAATCAATTGGCAGTCGTAATCGTAACTGGTCGTAACCCAACAAACAGGCAGTTGAGATTATTTTTCTCGGTCAGGATGAGCGTGAAGCAGTACATCCATCCGAGGAACAAATACAAACGACCGCCGGATTACAAGCAACTCGCGATCCTGTACCCGGAATTCCGTGAAATCGCGATGATGGTATTATGATGTATACTTTACAATTTATACATTATGTTTTTAATGCAGATGAAAGTTCATGTCAGTCAATAATATTTTACATGGATTCTTAGGTTGTTGTATTTAAATTTATTTAATAATACAATATAAGTATAAATGTACATTTAATTTTAGAAAGCTTTTCATTTATAAAAGAAGGAAAGAAATTAGTGAAGTATAAACGAACATATTCTTTTTACGAGAAAATATTGTAGAAAATGTATTTTTTTTTTATATATTATTTCTTTTCTACAACTCCTATACAATTTTTATGACTGAAAAAATATAAATGTAACACTCAGATGTGATATAAAGCCAATAGTAGCTAGCTTTTTATTTATGTTGATTGATTGAATGTTTAGGACTTCACAGGAAGAATTAGGATTGATTTCAAAGAGAGAAGAAGCCTTCATGTACTTACAGAGACGCTTCTAAAGCATGATTTTGATCTGCACGTGAACATCCCAGCAGATAATTTAAATCCAGCTATTCCACTGCGTTTGAATTATATTCTATGGATAGAAGACTTGATGACTCATTCTAAATTGGAGATGGAGAATGTTACAGGCATCGATATTGGTGATTATAGGACTGCTTTTGAAGACACTTTTGACAAAAAATGTTGCACTTAAAAAGTAAAAATAAGTGAAATTATTGTAATTATACTATTATAGTTTGTTATTAAAGTAATGAGTGGTAATGATATAATGATATAGATAGATTCACAATGAGATAATACTTTTCAAAATTAATTGTGTTACAGTAATGAGTGTTATCCATTTTACAATGTATACTTGTATGTTTAATATAATATTTTATAGACTGTTATACGAGGTTTAAACAATTTCGTTTTAAATAGGAACCGGAGCAGTCTGTATATATGCTCTATTACTAGCAAAAATCTACAAGTGTCAAGTGATTGGTACAGAAGTTGACAAAGGAAGTGTGGAGCATGCCCAGAAATGCATAAAAAGTAACAAATTACAAAATTTAATTGAAAGTAAGTTCTATTAAACATTTTTTTCCATATTGAAGCAAAAGAATAGCTATGAAAAATGAATGTTCATAAAATTAAAACTCTATTTCCCATAATGTGATTTTCTGATGTAGTAACTACAGTGAACTCCGATAGAATTTTTAAGGACGTAGTACAGGATAGTAGAGTGTATGACTTTTCAATGTGCAATCCACCGTTTTTCGAGAATGAGGACGATGGTTTCGAAAAAGTTGTAAAAGTCTTACCACCGAGAAACGCGCCCACTGGAAATGACAATGAGCTGAAAACCGAAGGAGGTGAATTGGGTTTTGTGACGAAGATAATCGAAGAGAGTGTCGAGGTGGGAAATCGAGTAAAAATTTACAGCACAATGATTGGCAAAAAAGTCAACTTGGTTATCTTAAGACGATTGTTAAGATCAAAAAATATAAAGAATATGACATGGACGGAATTCTGTCAGGGTCACACAACACGGTATAAATATATTACATTAAAAACTTTCCATACTAAACCTGTCAAAATAAGTTTAATTATTAAGTCTATTTATTTATTAAGTATGTTATATCATTAATCATGTATTATTTTGGAACTTATTAAGGCTATTTTATCAATAGATGGGGTTTGGCTTGGAGCTTTCTTCCACAAAACGTTGTGAACTTGACTACAGCACCTGTCATTAGAAAACGCGGGAAGTCTATAGTAGGATCGTTAAAGAATTATAAAACCTCGATAACATTTCCTGTGAATGATAAATTTTCCTGTGTAGACGATATAATTAATTTTCTAAGAGTAACAGCAAAAGAACTAAACGTAATGTATCATTTTCCTTATGATATTAAGTTTATTTTTTAGTTTGGATTATTTACAATTGAATGTTCATTAAAAAATATTTGTTAAGTTTAATTTTATTATCAATAGGTCAAGTTGCAAGACGTTCCCATTCCTGAAGATAGTTTCGATAGCTGGGCGTGTCAAGTAACTGCTAGAAAAAGATCATGGGAACATATGCGCAGGAAGCGGCGTTTAGCGCAACGATCCGCGTTAAAAAGAGCAAAAAGTGAAAATGGCGAATGTATTGAAGCAAATACATACGCCGAAGAAACTTCAATTGAAACTGGAGATAGTGCAAACAATTCAGATGAAGTAAGTTCTGATAAAGAATTACCTGACAAAGACGGTCCCTTGCTTGTTTGTAAATTATGGGTAGAGGCAGAAAACTGCGACGATTCTCAGGATATAATTACACAATCTGACGAGATACTCAGGATATGGATGTTGTTTGAGAATGGATATGGTGGTTTGGACGCGTTACATTCGTTGCGACAATATCTGATAAACAAATTGGATGTGAGGGAAAAGATTCTAGATAATCCTTCGAAGACGAAGAGAAAGAAAAAAAGGGTTAAAAAAGGATATTAATGTAAGAGTCCGTTGCTTCAATTATACTCAGGCAACAAAAAGAATTTTAACAATAAACGAACAATAAAAAAGTTGCAAAAAGTTTCGAAAAGAATTCTTAAGTAGATCACCGTGTTACATATAAAATACTTTATTCCATGCAATATGTTAAAGAAAATCTACAATAGGAGAAGTATATGTATGAATCAAATTCTTATAACGTTCTTTTTATTTCATGATATATGTAAAGTTTTTTGTGTGTAACTACATATCCCCCCCCCTTATAATTGTTTTTTTACTATTATTTCTTCCTTTATAGTACAATTTGGCTAAGTGCAATGTGGTAATTTGTCATTATAATTATTATTGTAATGCGAAAAGAGTTCGTCGAGAGTCGTCGGCTGAGATTGATTGACTGATTAATTGAACATTCATTTGCCATCATTGCAGAATAATTACTCTCTTCAGGCCTGAAATCTTGCATAGAATCTACTAGGGCTGCAAAATAATTTCCACTATTTTCTTCAATAAACAAAATCAAAAATTTCGCTACACAGCTACTATCGAACAATCAATATCGCGATATATCGTTCTTCGATCAAACCGCGGCGAAAGATTCCGGATCGCCCGCGCCGCGGATAGATCCATAGAGTGGGTCAAACGAATTATAATTAATATTAACAGCAGGGTAACAATCGGCTCCTTTACTTGTGATCCTAAAACTATAATCGCGAAACTTTGAAATCAGCTACTACTCGCAATGACTCGATTAACAATTGGCCAGTGACGTCCTTAATTACATGATCGGATAACAATGCCATTCGTTACATCGTACTCTCATCACCACCATTTTTAATACCGAATTAAAGAGATATATAGTATATTTTTATATCAAGCAGGCACATTAAGAAAAACAAATTCAAGAATGTCTACAAAAATATGTGTGGAAGCACCTTTTCATGAGTTAATAGAAGATGAAAGGAGATGAATTATATTCGTATGGATGAATTACAAATTGTAATTTTCTTGTCCTTTTTTGGTGGCAATTAAGATGGAAACAATATATCTAAATGGCACAAAATTGATCTCGAAAAAAAAAAGACAAAATCAAATGGTACTGAAAGTAATTTCGCAAATAACAGTGCGTAAATAATCTATTATAATATTATACATTATTAATGCACATTAAAGCCTGTGTACACTTTGCGCAATTATAACTGACAAAATAATACAATAATGACGTAATTTAGTATTTATCAAGCATTGTGATAAAATATGAAACTATACAATATGTTATGAATTCATCTACTTATGTATGCTTTATTTAAACGTAAAGTATACACAACGGCTTTTAATGAGCATTACATTCGAAAAAAAGTGAGACAGAATGCAAATTCATTCTATAAAGTAATAGGAAGAATGAAGGTAAAATAAGTTTCGAAAGTCTAATATAAATTTTATCGAGTTTGAACATTACTCTTAATCTGACGAATTAACGATCGGTATCGTCAACGTACCGTATCACCGGTATTTTGCATGGTAAATAACTTGAGCCTTTAAAAAATGCGTGGTCGCTTCCGCGCAAATGAAAAAAAGAATTGTATTGCTTTTTGATTTCACGCGTTGGCGAAAAGTGAACAATCTCTTTTACATATCTTGACTTCTCGAAGATATAATCTTTGTTGAAGATTGCTCTCTTTAAACGACATGGCATCCATGTCTTTATGTACATACATTCGATATAACAGATAAATGTGCGTCTCGCATGCAAATTCAACGGCGGATATATTCGTTCTTTTATCTTCACAAACACACCATGACGGCACAATCTTACGCTTGTCTTTTTTTAAATCTCGTATCCTGATTGCGTTTTAACAGTATAACAAAAAATGGTGCAAGTACCAAGTATGTATACATCGTACATAACGATCTTCGCGCGAAATCGTCATCTTCCACAACGGAGGACTAGGGCTTAGAAAAAAAAAAATAAAGACTACTAATGTTTGTCGTTGGCAAACGAAAGACTCAGCTCTTTGCTGTCACGACCGACTCCAAGATATCAGTTTTGCTAGTTTCCAAGTTTTTTGTTGTTTTCTGTTCGTCCTTAACGACATCCTTCTCTGTTGTTTTTTTTGTCTCCTTATCATTCTTGGTATCCTTTTCGGTAATTGCCATGATGGTCTCGTTGCCATCCGGTGATTGTTCTTTCTGTCGTTTCTCGATCTCCGCTTTAAAATTATCAATGTCTTGCTGGCTGATTTGCACAAAGAGAATACCATTGATAACATTGAGCATATCCAACACTGAGCCCATACTGGGCGGCTGCACTTGAATCGGTGGCAGGCTTACGCCTGATTTGCCCGTATAAATCTCGTTCATTTTCTTTTGCAACACAACCGCCTGCTGAGTCAAGTGTCGCAAGCAGTCACTGCTTTCCTTTGTTTTTTCGTGTTCCTCGCCTAATTGCTGCTTATAAATTGCATAAGTCTCCTTTTCGTTGTTTAGTGCTGCTCGGAAATCGCCCATGCATGATTGCGTACGTGCCACTAAATGATACGATACCGCGACTTTCAATGAATGCGGACCATGATAACGTAGATTCAAGGCTAATGCATGCTCTAGAAATCGCAACGACAGCTCATACTCGCCGACAGCGTGCAGAATCAGTGAGATATTACTCTGCAAAAATCAAATACGATGTTATTATTATATTTTAAACATTAATTTCTTTTAAGAAAATTTATGATGCTTTAAAAATGCACAATAAAACTAGTTAAGTATAAATAAAGTATCACATAATAAAAATTAATTTATAATTATGTGTATGTATATATGTATATATATATATATATATATATATATATATATGTATATACATACATATATGTGTGTGTAACATGAAAGTAATTTTTTAATTTTTATTCGGGGAATTATTAAAAATTATCTGAGATTAAACTTACGTCGAGCAAGGCCACTTCTGGATGATCTTCACCGCAGACTAATAATGTTAGATAACGTGCTCTGTACAATAATCTTAATGATACAGATACTTGTCCATTGGCAAAGGAATATAAGGCGAGATGTATCTGCAAGTGTAAAAATATATAATCGTTAATTATTAAAATTCTAAAAAAATATTGCATCATTTATACTATTTTTTTTTTAATTTTCTATATAATTTAATAGTAAATTTCATATGCTATATAGATATAACGCATAGAATTATTTCTTTACATTATTTTCATTTTAATTATAACTGTCATTTATTTTAATATGATCCATATAACTTACATATTCTGTAATGGTGTATGGATGATCAATGCCATTGACTCTTTCCGACATGAGGACTGCTTTTTGCTGAGTATCAAGTGCTTCCGCATGATTACCCATTATGTAATTCAATCTCGCCAGCATTCTAAGACATTGTGCAATTTCGGGATGCATGGCACCATAGACGTTATTAAGAAGATTCAGCGCCTCGCTAATCAGCTCGTATCCATCTTTTAAGTATCCTTGTTGAATCTTGGTTTGACCAGTGGTGTAAAAGTTATAGGCGTCGCTAGCCTAGAAAAAGTTAAGTTGAAATGAGAGATTACTTTAATCCGCAGTATTCATTTAAGATCAATTACTTACTCTAGGGTTGATATGTTTGACGACGGGGAAGATGTTCAATATATCTTCTTCAAAGAAAGTTGCTCGATTCTTGTTTTCGAAGTTATATTCGCGTAATAGTATTTGAATACCAGTCTTAATGCAGAAACCACGTAGCAATGAAATTTTTTGTAGATGAAAGTGTTCTATTGTGGCTTCCAGAGATTCCGGGCTTGGCGTTTCCCAATCGTAATAGGCTTTCAAATCACCCTTAATTTGCTGCCATAATGATTTAGGCGTCAATGATGCCCATTCTACTTCTAACTGTTGTGGCCCATTGTTTCTTCCTTTACGTTTATTGCGGCGTTTGGCAGTTTTGCTTTGAAGCTGAAATAAAAAATTTATGTCAATTTATCTCTTAAAATTTAATTATATAAAAAACATAATCTTAATAACTATATTGACCTTCATTACTATTAATTTAAAATTAACAAAATTTGGATTCTTTTAATTATATAATTAACCCTTCCGTCCACTACGGGGGTCTTTTTCGACCCAAGCGAAATTTCAAAGTGCTGTAACTTTTGAAAACGGGTACTGAAAAGGCTATGTAAAAACTATATAAAAAAATAATTTTTATCGAAATATTATGATTGGGACTTCAAGTTGAAGGTTGAAAGAAGTTCCATGAATTTTTTCAGATTTTTTAAAGCACTTTTACTGGTCGAAAAAACGTCAAGACGATAACGACCCCCGTAGTGGACTGAAAGGTGCCGAAAAAACGTAGTGGACGGAAGGGTTAATTAATAATTATGCATAAATTATAGATACAATAATCGATCGTACCTCTTCAAGATTTTGTTGTGGATGTATAATTTGTGCCGAAGATAGCAAGCAATTCAGAAAGTGACTGACGGCCGCGGACAGATTCATCAGATCCGTACCCTGTAAAATGATATATTTACAATTTTTTTATATATTATTAAACACAATTTTATTTTTGTATAATTACCTGCATGTAAGAGGTGAAAATATGTTTCGCCGATCGAAGAATCAGTTCGGAAACTGCGATGCGGTTGATATAATGCAACTGTGGCACTGCGGCTAACATAGCCGCCAATTTACCGAGATAGCGAACGTTAATGCCTCTACCGTGAAGAGCCTCCACTAATGTACTACCGTCCATTGCGGCTGCCGTATGATCCAAACACTCCCGAATCTGAAATAAACTTTTACTTAAAAAAAAAAAAAAAAATTACAATTGCGCAATTATAAGTACAGTTAGAAAATAGTTTACATTTTGGATCTACATCGCAAAAAAATATTAAAAAGGTGTTTTTATTTTATTATTATTTTATTACTATTAAATTTTTACAGCAAACTCACGAATGTTGGCAGCTGCACCGTGAGTAAGAAATCTGCAGCATCCTTTACTAATTGTTTCTGCTTCTTCAGACCAGAGCCATTAAGATCTGGATGTTTAACACCAGGCGAGAACACATCCGGATTGAATCTTACATCGAATTCAGCGTCGCACAGACTACCTACTGCCGCCGCCGCTCTTCGCACTATCTCCTTCGTGCTCTCCTCCACTATCCCAAAAATAAGACTTATTACAAAACTAACTCTGGTTTTTATAATTTCTTTACGATTCATTTTCTTAATTTTTTTCTTAACATTTATTATTTCTTTGCTATTAGTAAAATCCTGAAAGTTTCTTCACATATACGAACCTATATAATCAATGCATTTAAGAAAAAATAAGAAATATAATACACACGTTCTTGTTTCTCGCCACCTGTAATCGAGTCAGTGATGCTCTCGACAATCTTTTTAGCTTCATCGGCCTCTATTAGAGACTGAGTACAGTCTTCCTTGTTACTGTCTACAGTTACAGGAACAATTGAGTCTTCCTTTTTGTCCTCTTTCTTATCTTCCTAAAATGATTAAGTCTCTGTATCATCTATACTATTTCAAATTATTTGCATTTGAGATACAAGTATAATGAAAATATAATATTAAAAAATATCTGTTTATACCTTGGCAGTTGCCTCTTTTTCCTTTTGGGATCTTCTAGCTGACGTAAGCTGTTGGAGGTGAACGGCCGCGTGTTTGATAAATTGAACGTACCTGGCCTCGAAAAATGAGTCTATGAGTTCTTGCCGTAGACAGGCCAGTCTATGTTTGTGTTCTACTGGAAAACCCAAGGCTCGTGCTTCTTTGCTCAGTTCCACGCCTTCGACTGAGTAAAAAATATATTTCCCGAATAAATAAAAATTAACAAATTCATCATAAATAAAAAAACAATTTCTTTTTCGTGATTCTGATATAATTGGTAGAAATCAACTCACGTTTCAGAAAATTTACATCAGGTGGGAAAGTCCTCAATAAATCGAGCACATAATGCCGTGAATCGTTACCAATAATACCCTTGCATTCCACACTGCTGCAAAGTTCGATTTCCTCACCTGCGTCGTTGATTACTTTATGAGGAAGGATTTTCAACTGCTGTCCAGCTTTATTTAACTAAACACGAATATTTAAAATACTTGAGTAATAAGTCAAATTTAATAATAACGGCAATAATTTTAGTAACTCTACGTTCACTTACCAATTCAAGATATTTAGGATGCGTAAGAACAGTCTTTCCGAAATCGATCGATCCATAGACTACCGATTGTTCTTGTTCACGTTCCAATATACCTGGTATAATAGATTGCGCGGTGATGCGATAGCCTCTACAAAAAAATTCACAACAAAAATTAAGTAGGAACGCACTAATAAGAAAACCATAAGAAACGCGAGAAACGCACCTGTAATCGATGACAACAGTACCGAGAGTATAGAGACCGGGCAAGTCCACAGCCGCGTATACTCGGACGCCTTGTAGATCATTGCGAGGTGCAACAAAGGCGGCGGCATCACCACCTAACTCTTTATAATGATCACGGACATCGAAGCCAAGAGAAAAGAAGATATTGTTCCAAATAAACATCTGCATTTTAGCTTCTTCGCCAGGGTTAATCGCCATAACATTACCATCAATGACTGCCACCGCTCCGCGAGTCGCAGCTGCGACGAAGTCACTGTGGACCTAAACAATATATAAAAAGAATTAAGAATTATTTAAGAATTTATTATTAAAATTATTAAAAAATAATAAAGTATATTTTTACTATTTTATTATTTCATAATATTTTATAATTATTATTATACAGTGTCTTTAAATGAATAGAATTGAAGAAAGAATTTATCACGAAAAAATGAATAAAAAGTAAATATAATTTCGTTATTACTTCGGAGATATTGTATATTATGTTATGTTCAAGAAGACTCACAAGAGAAGAATTAATGATATACCTTAAAGATAGCACGCTCTCGTAGTAATCTTTCAGGAAGGTTTTTACGTGATAGTTCTCTCGTAGTTTGTAATTCCTCGTTCCAATCGCGTGTTTGCCCAGGTATGTGTTCTTCGTATCCCAATTTAGAGGAAAAAGCTAAGAAGAGATTGTTTAAATTAAATTTCAATGACAGTACCATGGTTACTAATCCATTAAGCACATTTTCTGAATGATTAAAATTGAATATAATACAGCTAAACCAAATAAAATTCGACTAATTATTTTCTTTTTATTGAGATAGATCTTAGCGGTTTCATTTACTTCTTCTGGTACTTACTGTCTTCCGCGCGAATTGCGTCAATGGTGTGCTCGATTTGCGGTGCACTCCAGGCATACAATTGATAAGGGGTAGCTACTCGTTCAAAAGGATGTCTCTGAGTTCTGCGTCGTTGCATAGAGGCAAATCCTCGTTTAAAGGATGGACTGAGTTGATTCAAGAGTTCAATAAGACTATGGCATAAATGGCTAGGTGTAGCTGGTTTAGGATTAAATATTTCTTTGGTTGATTGATTGACAAAGAATCCTCTGGCGCACGCAGTCAAATAGTATTGCTTGTCCTCCAACGTAACCACATGTAAGTATATTAGATCGCCGTGAAGCTTTCTGTGGCCAGGTGGTGGATTCCATCCTGACGTTGTTAGAACCTTCGGAAAATGCAAAAGAAATTTAGAAATTATTTATTTATCTCCTTTTCTCGACAATAGAATTTAATTTTTAAAGTTTTTTTAAAAAAAAGAATACTTAATCATCTTTGAGCAACTTTTCTTCGAAGCTATTAATTTTTACCATTCCGAGTTAACAATATAATTTTTAGTCTTTCTTTTATTATCTTTCAACTCATATAATTATTAAACTTTTCAAGAATTACCAACCTTGAGACACGGTGGGCACTTTTGCTCCTTCGCCTGCGGCTGGAGGGGCAACAGGGGTCTCTCCCTACAACCGGGTATGATGTAATCGGGTGGTGTACAATCAACTGAATCCGCTCGGGTCTTCTTTTTCTCTAGGATATCGCCATTCGTGACAATATTGAGAAAAGACAAACTACAACACTCGACGCCGTTGTAAGCATCCGCGGGATCCACGGACTTCAGCAGATCGCGTACATGTCGCACATGTATGCGCGCCTCTCGCATCGTATATGGCTCCTCCACTACCTTAATAATGGAGCCATCCTTCAGACCCTCGATATTCTTCAGTTCGGCAAAGTTGTCTAACGTGTTGCCATCCAGTTGCAATGAAAAGCACGTGCGGTGACACGTGTCTTCGCGGTCCATGAGTAACTGATGGATCTCCTGCAGAGAAAAAATGTCAGGAAAATTCAAGCAAAAATATTGATTTATTTAGGCGTTGATTTTTACTACAAAATACTTTTTGTAGTAAAAATAATATGATACAACATAATAGACATATAAATATATTCCAAAGCAATAAATAGAATATTAATCAGGGATAGCTAATTGTTATTAAAAATAAAAATGTTAGAAGTAAAATTAAGTTCAAAGTAAAGACCCTTAGATAGCATGGACACAAAAATTTTATTCAGAAGGCAAATGATTACCTGTACCAACTCCATACTCGATACTTGAATGTCAAAAGGTTCGGAACCGGGGCTGACAATCTTGACAGTAAAGCCCATGTCTTGAATGAAAACAACTTCTTGTTCATTTGAAACATCCTTCTTCTTTTCTGCTTCTTTCTCGTTCTTATCATTATTTTTATTGTCTTCATTCTTTTCCTTTTCACCCTCTTTTGTTGCCTCAACTTCTCCCTTTTCCACAACGTTTTCCATAGCCGTACTCGTACTTCCACTGTCCTCTGTTTCCTTTTTCACCTCTACAAGTAATTCACCATATATAGTATACATATATGTATAAGGTAATTCGTGAATTATTTCATAAATTTTTGTGTAATGTTGCATAATTGATGTGTTTTATTAAAGTACTATTAAATTTATTGCAAGCATTAATTTATGAAATTATAATCTTAAGAATTATCAACAAATCACACAAAATATTGTTTAAATTTCAAAATTTATCAATTTTATTAAACTTATTTATAATACAAAATAACTTAGAAATTTGATATTATATTATATCTAGATTTCTATTGGATACGTTACATATGTATGAAATCACAGATTAGACAAAACTTAAACTTAAGTGATAAGATAAATAAAAAGATAATATAATCAAATAACAGAACAACAAATCACACAAGATATTGTTTAAATTTTAAAATTTGTCAGTGTCTTTGAACTTTTGTTTACAAAATAATTTAGAAATTTGATATTAAATTATATCTAGATCTCTATTGGATACATTACATATGTATGAATACAGATTAAACAGAACTTAAATCTTAAGTAATAAAATTAATGAAAAAATATTTAAATCAAACAACAGAACAAGTTACAAAATGCAATGACTTTCTCTCGCCCTGACACTGAAAGGGACACGACGCATTTACAAGATATAAATATATCTCATAGTCCAAGTAGTTTCAAGTTGTCAGACGCACTTTCCGATGCACTCTCAGACGCACTCTCTCACCACTCGCATTCACCGATGTGCTTATAAATAAGCGGCAAAGTAAATAGTACGCACCATACTATTTATATTGGAGCACGTGTTTGCAATACGCATCAACTTCGAAATACCAGCAACGATCTATGTCAAGAGAATACCTATTGGATTTCGTTGGCAGCGATAATAGTTGTTACCTTTTGTTGTAACAACATTTGACTTTGTCGATTCAATTTTTCATTTCTATTTAGTATTTTTTAATTTAATCTTCGTTACATTATTTTTAAAATAATAAAACAATACTAAAAAAAATCCATGGTAAACTAATTTCACATATAAATCACTTTATACGTGGTGTTTTTATCTTATCTCCTCTTACAGTTTTTCCCTTTTTTTATTACTTGATTGTTATTATTAAAACCAATAAAATTTTCAATTGTATTAATTTCTATAAAATATAATATTAAATTTATATGCATTTTCTTCAATTATTGTATATGGTACTTTTATTATTAATATGAAATTTTGTTTTCTGTGATGGTCGATTTGCAAGTTTGGCACTCCGATTTTAACAGTTTCTAAATTAGTGTTTAACATAGTTTTGTACAAGTAATTGCAATTAACTTTCCATTTCATTGAGCCACATTTTGTAAATATCGTCGATTTCGAGTAGTCGTCAACAATAGCAGGCAAATCGTGTAACTGATAAGAGAACTAAGTATCCATAACTCATGCGCTAAAAATTAGATAAATATGAGTTCTTAAAAAAAAATCGGCAAGATACACATTTTATAATTTGAATAAATAATTCATATTAATTTTATTCTTAATGATTTTCTAAGCGTGTAGAGATTTTTGGATCATGAAGTAAATTGAATTAAATAAGAGATGTAACAATTACATTTTCTATGTAGTAAACAAAAATATTCTTGATAATTAGATAACAAGATTTCAGTTAAAAATGTTTCGTAAAAAACTTCTTCTTTTCATTTTTTGGTGTTTATCGTCTACTTCACTGTCTTATCACCATGTTATCGTGTACGGTTCCATCGTTGTTATGTATAGAAGCGTTGTACTCCTATTACAACGCAGACACGTTAACGCGATACAGATAACGTGTTTTATCACAAAATAACGTGATGAATAGCGGGAAGAATCTATATGGATAACAGTCACGACGATTACAGTGGATATTAAATTATATCTATTTAGAAGTAATATATATATATATATGTATAATAAGACATCGTAAAGTTAACTTTGAACTGGATATTAACAAATGTTTAAAGAAGCTTAAAAAATTTACAAGTTTTTACTTTAAAAATGTAGCTGTATAAGAGAATTATGCCTAAATTCTAAGCAGAATCGTAAGGCTTGTCACATATTCTTGTAAGACTTATAAGAATTTTTAATGCTTATACTGTATACAATATCTTTATAGATAGCTTCTTATACTAAAGTCAAAAGATTTACAAGAAATGTATCGTAGATATTTACTAACAATCGTAAGTTTTACGATACGCATAAAATTAGTCTAAATATTTTAGTCATAAGTTCTTACAAGTTTTACAGAGAATAAGTTACAAGTTTTACGATTCTGCTTAGAATTGATCCATTAATTTTAGAAAGTGATCAATTGAATTCCGAAAAACTCGCAAATTGTCGTGTACATTTTTATTTCATTATTATAGTTATCTATTATTGGTTATCCAAACCGAAATGAAATGTATTTAAAAAAGGTACTCAAGAGGCGTAAATAGGTGATAATATTCACGACTCACTCTTAACAACTGATAAATGGAATATCTACCAGTGATATTATTAGACTATTGCTGTTAATAATTATCGTGCATAAACGTTGTTATTTACGCATTTGTCTTTAAAGTGGAGCTTACAAACTCACAAGTTAATAAATGTCGTCGTCAGTTTTATTCATGAGAAAGCCGTGTAGCTTTAACATATCATTCATAAAACGCCTACGGCCAGATGACCACCAATACTCGTGAATCGCCGCGCTTTCCTTCTCGTCGTTAAACTTGCCACTTAATTTGATTCACTGATGTAATGTTCATAACGGAATCGTAATAATACGATATAGTTATCAATTGACCTTGATGACAAATACTAGATTAATTATGTTTTTAAATAATTTTATAATTTTTATTTTTATTTTTCATTTTAATCTCTCAATAATTTTCTCTTGAATTTTATAAGCACGTGTATGTTCGAAAAATATTTTTGTTAATGAAAAAACTTGAATATGAAAAAGTAAAAGATATAGTACTCAAAGAGATTTATATTATTAATAAAAGAGATATAAAAAATTTAATGTATTGATACAAAAATTTAGTATAAATATATTCATTCACATATTATATGAACTAAGTAAAAAATTTATATTTATTAAATATAGATAAAAATTTTTTTTTATTTCAGAAATAAATCTTTTGAATTGTGTTTGTGAAAGTCAATCCTAAAAAATATATTCGTAATGTAAAAAAGATATAAGTAGGTAAATAAAATAAGAAATAAAAGAAAAAGAAAAAAGATGTAAGACATTCCTAATACGTATAGAAGTTTGTCTATTCAAATAAAATCTGTGCCAAGAAAGTATTAGACAGACGGACGTGAATATATAAACTTGAAGACAGATAGATGACTATAGTATTTACTGTTAAATATAGAATCCAAGCGGGTTTACTGTACGGGAGTTATGCGAGTTCACACTGTACCGAAGACACGTGAGGAGGATCGATTTAAACACGCAAGCTCAAAGGTGAAAGTACGAGCATTATAGCATGCTGCAATTGCGCTAGTTAACCCGATTCGATTATCATCGAGGGATGTTTGACGTAGAAATCAGTGCATAATATAATAACCGGCGCTGATAACCCCTGCTATCGATACTTTGCGATTCTGCGTGAGCATTGTTTCCTTGGTACACGTGCAGTAAAAAGCGGATCATTAACACAAGACTTTCTTTCCTTTTAGCGTCTAATTAAACTTGCAAATACACGCGTAATTATACAGAATTCTCACGTCTGGTTAAATTTCTCAAGGTGTGTCATTTAGGCTTTCGAATGCAACTCATAAAATTTTTGAATAAAATATTCGTATAAACTGGAGTTTAATAGATTAAAAAATTAGTTGTTACTTGGTACATAAAACAATTCCGACTAATCCGAAAAGAAATATTACTTAGCAATCTCACGAATTGCAAATTTTCAAACATACACGTGATTCATCTGTTCCACATGCGAGAAGAAAAAGTATGTCCTGAAAGGAAAAGTTCGTTAACGATCAAGACATCTTTCAAATATATTCTCTCATCAATCAGTGCATAATCTTTGAAAGAAAAACACATTTTTTTCATCGCTTCTCTTCTACTTCTATACTTCTTCCATTTACAGTATTTACACCGAGTATAGAGAACAAATTCTAACAAAGAAATTGGAAAAATTATTTTATCTCGCGCGCTTAAATTCAATTTTAAAAGATCATCTAATTTTTTTTCTTTGTTTCTTTCTTTATCTTTATCTCATTTTAATTGTGTACAATAAAATAAAACATAATCAATCTCATTATAAGTCAGTAATCACTGTATTACTGTTATTATTAGTTTCAAAAATGAATCTTTTAAATCATTTTAAATATCTTAGGTCTTGACATATTCATCCCAACAACGAATAAATTACACCATATGTTGACGACACTTTGAGCATCGATATTGCATCATAATATACACGGCCGTTTATCTTACTCAGTATCATCATTTCAAAACGTTAGACACATTACAAAAGGAAATTCGTTACGCATACCGACGTTAAATAAACATATATCTGACTTCAAATATTCACAATTCAATCATATTGTCCATTATTACTTTCATTCCAAACTGGATGTTATATCATGTCGTTTCCTTTGTCCTATAAAAATCAAAATTTGTTGTAAATTATTTACACACACAATTTTAAAGATGCATCAATTAGCATCATTTATTATTAATACTTATTAGCATCAAAATTATTAAACTGTTGTTGTAAACAAGTTGTAGTCTTTCAAAGTCACAGAATCGTGAAGTTGGCGCTCTTCCCCCGTCGCTCCAAATGACGTTTTCATCAACGAAACTCTTTTTATAATCTTACAATCAAGTTTAGAACTCTTCGGAGGAAGGGAAGGCAACCAGAACTCTTTTTATTTTTAATCCTGATCCAAGACTCCAAAGATTAAATCACAAATAAATATCGTGAGCCAATGTGAGTAACATGGATTAATCATGTGTAAAGTCCATATACTTGAAAAAATTGATTCCGTTTTAAACCCTTTGTTTTGAGTCCTCTTCAAGTATGGAAATATCCATAGAGAGATCTTTTTAAGTATCATTAACAATCGTTGTTATTACATTGTTTTAAATATCATCTTTTTATTTTGTTCAAATTTTGAAAATTAGGGCTAGCTTCAGAGAGGTATACAATTATAATTTATTATAAATGTTGATAATACATGGAGGCCTTATGTTTGGGCATAACTGATACTTCCAATCAACGTTTTTGTCGAACACAGTTGAAAATATCGTTATTCATCCTAAATATTGATATTACATCATGCTATTTTTTTTCCCTTAAAAATCAAGATTTGTCGTAAATGTTGAGGATACTTAGAGATTTCAAGAAAAGTGTTCAGGCGTAATCAATACTTCCAATCGATGTTTTTATCGAGCACAGCTGAAGATATATTACGTAAACATGATTACGGCATATTTACGGCGCGCATTAGTCTCCATCATGCGATCTACGGATCATCGGTAACCCTTAAATGAAACAGGATTGATATTTACGATCATTGGAAGGTTCACAGATCAGCTATAGTTTCGTGAATAATTATTCCGAATTGCTCCTTGTTTTACAGAGTTCCAATAATTTACACCTCTTTTCTAATTGTCAAGGTTGCCGGCACGCTCGCATGCTTGAAGCGTCCTTTGCAATATACTTTGAAGATTAGCAGGCAAATACCGGTTTTTTGTAACTCATATTGTTTATCTCATGAAATGCAGAACTTGAGAAATATGCTTTGTAATTCCGTGTCGTTCCGCTTTTCGATGTTATGGTGAGCAGGTCGAGTACCTTGCAAGAAATACGATTAGATCTAAAATCTAATTGTAAATGTGTTCTTTGCTTCCTACTTCTTACTTTTTATTTCTTGTGTCTTTTTTCTTCTTTGCACTCGTTTTATCAACTGTCGTGTTTCTTATCTTTTCCGAAGCTCGTCAAGTTTCATTTAAGACGGAAGAAAACGAAGAAACAGAATAAGACGAGATAAACGTGATAAAAAGAAACAGGAAGGGCAAATTGTAGATTAGACTTAAAAGACCACGAGTCAAAGCAAGTGCCTTGCTTTTCGAATAACTTTTCTGAATTTCTTTGTGATTCTCTGTCTCGAGAAACAGCCTCATGTTGTTTGATGATTGTTCAGAAAAATGAATTTTCCCTCTTTCAGAGTGTTCATGTACAACACAAGTTTTGAAAAGGGACATTCTAAAGATATTTAGAAAACGCCCTGTTTTAAAGACATCTAGAGGATATCTCCATCCTAAAGACGTCTTTAACCCTTGACTACATGTCTCATTTTAGAGTCCTAATTTACACGTCTATAAGTCCAAGTCATCTCTTTTTACAATTTATAAAAAGTGCAAAAATCAGTTTTTTTGTTTTCAAAGATCATATCTTTATGATAAAAAAAGGATACAGAAAAATAAGTCACTTCAACTATGCAATATTAACTGTACAAAAATAGTGGTCAATTAAAATTTTCACCGGGCCCAAACGACCCACTCATGTAGTTGAAAGTTAATCCCTCAGAGAACTATATTGTGTGAATAAATTTGGCCATGATTTCCATAAATACAAAGGACAGAAAAAGATGTTTTTTTTTAGCTGAATTTCTTGTACAATATATTTTCAATGTGAAAAAAAATATGAGGAAGATAAGCCATGCAACAAGTTTAGCTTTAGAAAGAACATGCCTAAGTCCTGAAACACAATAGATGTAGTAAACTTTAGAGACCTATTCTGTAATTCTTAAGCCTAATCTACAATTGCGTAAACGTAGTTGTAAGAATCCTCCAATCACAGTTGGATATTCTCCTTGTATTTAACTGTAATTGATCAATTCTTACAACTACAACTACGTTTTTACGCAATTGTAGATCGGACTTTACAGAATAGGCCTCCTTAAGCATTAAGGATATTTACAATAGGTTTTTAAGCCTTAAGCTATGACAAGTAAATAAATCAATTATTCTCACATTTGACAGTTAATTGGTAAATTCTTATGGCTTAAAGCTTAAAATCTATTGTAGATCTGGACTTTTAAACAATCTTGAATTTGAGAAGATCGACTAATTAATCAGTTTCTTAAAGCTACAGCCCTGTAGACTTAAGATGCCCTATTGTGTTTCAGGTTTAACGTCTTGTTATCAGCTGCGGACTAATAAAAAAAAAAAAGAAACGCGGAAATATATAATTGATTCAGTTCTACTGGAGGTCAACTGTGCATCTTAAACGAAGAATGTCATAAAAGTGAGCGAATTTACCGAAATATTTATTAATTAATACTTAATGAATTTGTTTACATATGTAATTTCCATCTCGTTTCAAGATACACAATTAAATTTTCAGAACGAAAACGCTTTCGCAGACCGAAAGGTTGATAAGAATTGGAAATTCGTCCGTTGGCGCCGCGGCGCGTCTTCTGCTAGATCTCCCCCCTCCCCCGGCGTCCCTCCTCGTGTTACTTGCGGCTCACATGACCCCGTGCGCAGAGACTCGCGCAATTCGTGGGGTTACGTAACGTGCTTCACTCGCTCTATCTCGTTCCTCCACGCACTCTTTTTGATCGCGTGTTCTCTGTTCCTCGCTCGATGGAGGCCGGCTTCGCGTTCGACGAGCCGAACGTTGAAGCGAAATGGTCCCGACGACCCGTGAAACGTTTTCGTCGGGACACGAGAATCAAGATAAAATCGGCGTCGTTTTTATCAGATTATTACATAACGCTCACGGGTCAGAACAAGACGAGTTCTGGCTCGCGGATTAACCTTAAAGGAACATCGTGTAGCACCCTCGTGGGTACGCGATAATTTCATATCAGTACTGACCGGTCACCTCCGTAGCCTCGTGCACCTGATCACCATTCAGCAGAGGTATCTTCGCGCTGCCGGTATCTCGCTCGGACGTGTCGATTTGTGCGCCAACTGCCATTTCCTTGGACTTGGACCGCTCCGACGATGATGAAAGAAATGACGACGACGGTGACGACAGGGTGTAACGTGACAACGTGGTTTTCTTATTTTTCCGCGTACCTGCTTCTTCGCTCTCTCGCACGAGCCTCGTTCTGTCTGTCCGATCTTTTACTGTCCTTTCTGCAATTTACGGTCACGCGCACGCACACCCTTTTGAATCGTTCGTCCGGGACGGAAAGCGACGACGACGTCCGACTTTTTCACGGGGCGGCGGACTACTCCAGCGCGCGCGAATCCTACGGTCCGCACGTGCGTTTCGAACGGGGTACGAGGTCTTGCAGCACAGTCTGCAATTGGTCCGTCGCGGCAATCCACGATTGGTCCGTCGTTGTGATTCGTGATTGATCCGAAATGGACGAAATTTCTTAAAGAGGGAAAATTTGAAACGGAATTTATATATTATTTGTATATTATATTTTTTATCAATGCATTATTTAAGTATAATTATATGTAATTAATATAAATAAATATTGTAATTAATATGAATTTAATTATATAATATTTTTAATTTTGTTACAGATTAATAATTTCATTTATATGTTAACAAAATAAGCAACTAAATAAGTTGATGACTGATTAAATTAATCATAGTTTAGTCAATGTCTTTCTATCGATATTATTAGGGGCTGCGCAGAATAAAAGGAACAGGGAGTAGAGAACAGAGAATAATTTCAACTTATCAGAAATCATATACTATGAAATAAACAGTATGTATTCCATAGTACATGATTTCTGATAGGTCAAAATTCTTAGGGCAAATTTCACCAACGTCGGTTAAGCTAACCGACGGTTAAAGTGTCAACCGTGATTGGTTCATTCTGGTCAAAGACAAATGCGATTGGATAATTCCATTGGAATTAACCGTCGGTTAGCTTAACCGACGTTGGTGATAATTGGCCCTAAAAGAGCCTACAGATCAGAGCGGCGCAGCGGTGAAGCGGCGAGCGATAGCCAATGAAAGCCATGCTTTTACGCAAAATCATGGCTCTCATTGGCTATCGCTCGCCGCTTCACCGCTGCGCCGCTCTGGTCTGTAGGCTCCTTAAGTCGACTCATGCCTGGTTTATGCTTCAGGTCTTAATTCCAAGATCCTAAAATTCAACTAATAAAACTGCCAGTTCTAACCGAAATTTGAACTCTATTGGCTGAATTTTAGGATTAAGTCCTTAAGACCGAAGCATAAACCAGGCATCAGAGTCGACTTAAGACGACTTTGTACTATTAGGGTACATAAAGAATTTGATTGGTCTATTGCCTCATACATAAAGGTTGGATTATACTGGCCGTAATCTGTTAACTTATACTGTAATCTGTAAAAATTGACCAATTATAATCGATTATTCTCCTCTCATTCGACTGTGATTGGTCAATTTTTACAGATTACGGCATAAGTTAACAGTTTACGGCCAGTATAAATCAACCTTAAGAAAATAGGCCAATGAAATTCCTTATGCACATGCTTTATGCGTTATGCAAAAGTGTGTGCTGCGGCCTTATAGAGTTTTAAGCCTTAAGCCATAAGAAATGGACGAATCAATCGATTATTTTCCTCGAATTCGACTGTAATTGGTTAATTCTTTATGGCTTAAGGCTTAAAATACCTATTGAAGATCCGGGGCTACTGCTCATTGGCTACGTTCAGCAGACTCAACAGTTGAGTCCGCTGAACGCGCCCAAAGATCACTTTCTATTTTACTGATCATAGAAATCGATCTTCAAATTTTAACGTCCCTGACATTTCTAACCTATAAGGTGTGCGCTGTATAAGATATTTGTTAGCTGTATTTGTACATGTAAAAATAAAGACTGTTGCGTTTTCAGAAAGATCGTCGCGGTATAAGAAAAAATTTCTGAGACGATCCCTCTAATAGAGTTGCCCGACAAGACCGCGAGTGAGGTTAGACAGCGCAAAGATGTCAGCAGAAGAACAACCTGAATTTCGACTGGGACCGGATCCTAATGTCACTTATCCTATTCGCGTTCAATATTGCGGAAACTGTTCGCTACCTATCGAGGTAAATCATTACTTTTGATATTGATGTAAAAAAACTAGATAACAAAAATAGAGGAATCGTAATTGTCAATTGAAATTTATAACTACTTTATTTAAAAAAAATTAATGTTTTAATTTTAATATGAATTTCACAAAAACGTGGTTAGATTCAAAACAATAATTTCGTAAAATGAGCATACAACCACACATAAGTTCTTATTCAAATAATATTTGTTTGATTATGACAATGATATGAATAAATTATTTGTTTTATAATGATTTATCACGAATAAGAACTTGTGTGTGGTTGTATGCTCATTTTATGAAATTATTGTTTTAATTTTAATTAATTTTTTATCCCTTTTAACGTGATACAGAAAAAAAGGCTTGGCAGTCAAAAAAATATTTAGGAGACACGTTGATATTGAAATCATTCTGTTTCTGTTCGATATTAATGAGAGACAAAAATAATAAATGTTTCTAATTATAAATTTCTTCATCCCTTTTAGCGGAACATAAAAAAGGATTGACAGTTAAAGAGATTTTAAGAAACACGTGACATGAAAATTATTTTGTTTCTTTTTATAAGTAGTAAAAGATAAAAATAGAATGACTCTTGTGTCAATATATACACCCATATCTTTTATGAGAAAGCTCCTAGAAGTTTGAATCTAGTAAAATCTAATAAACTTTTTTATTTGCAGTACTGCGAGTATTATCCGGAGTATGACAAATGTAAGCAATGGCTAGAAAGGAATTTGCCTACTGAATTTGAGAAGATAAAATTAGGTAATTATGAAGAGACTTGAACATCAAAGCAAACAATTTGAGATTCTAATTAGGAGAATATTTAATCAGCTACAGAGGATGGCTCTACCGAAGTCAGCACAGGAGAGGATGAGAAGAAGCGGCAGAAGCGAGGTGGTAAAGGTATGCTGAAAACCAAGAAGAAAGAGGATATACCACGATTAATAACCATCTCTAGAGCACCCAGAGGAAAGAAGAAATCTGTTACAGTTGTAACTGGCCTTAGCACTTTCGGTAATAGAGCAAATTGATAATCTAAAGTTTAAATTCTAAATGAATTATGAAATAAATAAAAGTTCTATAATTTTGAAAAATTTATTTTTTGCAGATATTGACTTGAAGGTAGCAGCAAAATTTTTTGGCAGTAAGTTTGCTTGTGGATCCAGTGTGACTGGAGATGATGAAATTGTCATACAGGGAGACGTCAAAGATGATTTATTTGAGGTGATACCTGAAAAATGGCCACAAGTAAGTTATGAGGGAAAAAACAAGGTAGAAAATAAGCATATCAAATGCTTAGTTTTTAATGGAAAATCCTACTTTTTTTTTTTCAGATTGATGAGGACTCCATAGATGATCTTGGGGATCAAAAGAGATAATAAGGCTATCCACCATTACACACGCACAATAATTTAATTATACACTATTTCCAGTCATGTTTATTATATAAATAAAATGTACATACACAAAATATATTTCAATAAGTTATTTTTTTAAGGTCTAAGATTAGGTTTCTTGTTCTGTGTCTTCCTCATCTCCTCGCACATTCGCGACGATTTGAAGCACAGTTTCCACCCCTTCCTCTGTTAGTCGGTCCTCGCTCTCTTCTACCATCTGTACGTTATAATTATTTCAGAATGAATCTATTGTTGATTGAAATGTTAAAAGATTTGGATCTCTTCGCTTCTTAATTAAGTAAAACAGTATTATCCAAGATAGAATAAATAAGTTCGTGTAAATGCAACAAAGCATAATTAGTATCAAAGCCTATAACAAGCAATAACAGTTAATTTATAAAATAAAATTTACTTTAATTACATAAATACACTAATTAAATTTTAAGTGTGACTGTTCTTAAGGAGATGTAAAATTGTTATTATGTATAATCATCGATGAAGAGTTTATAAGTCAAAACTGTACTCATATAATTAAAGTAAATTTTATTTTGTAAATCAACTGCTATTGCTCGTTATAAGCCTTGATACCAATTACATTGAGTACTATTCAAGATTTGTAATTCTGAAAACTGGCTTAATATATTGTATAGAATGTATTATTTTCTTAATTAATATTTTTTTTCTATCTCTATTAAGAAAGAGCTTAAAATTACAAAGACAATATTGAATTAGAATATTTGTAAGCAAGAAATCATACCAATTGAATCTCGAGAGGTGTAGTAGGACAGAGATTGAGAAGAGTGAGCTTCTCGGCCTTACTTAATTTGATAGGTTCTATTGCTTCCAGAAACTGTCGAATTTTCTCTGGATTCTGCTTCTTGCACGGTGTGTCCTCTAGATACTTAATTGTTTGATAACTGATGGTCGCGAGCTGATTCATTTTCTGCTTCTTGTAAGAACACTTCGTATTTTGCAAAATATCCAGAACCTCGTAATTACTCAATAGAGTGTTCCACTTTCCTTTTATGCTGAAAAACCAGTAATAATGAGGTATAAAAATAGTTGCGAGAAGAAACGATATTTAATCAAGTTAAAATCTGATGACAACTTACACTTTCATGGTTATTTTCTTAAATTGAGGGAAGTTTTCTAATTGTAAGATATACTTCTTCTTCTTCAATAGTGGCAAGATTCTAATCCAGCTAGCAATCCAACAGGAAAACAAGCATCGTGGACCGCTGCTTTAATGCGTGGTTTACAATGGCAGTAGTAATAGTGAAGGATTATGAAGGAAGATCTTCCTGGAGGAGACTGTAAGAGTAAGAAATTGACCAATCACGGTCAATTATTCTTCTAACATTCGACTGTGATTGGTCAATTTCATACTTCTACAGTCTCATCCACTACTACTACTGTCTGTAGACCACGCAGAAGATGCCTTTTCATGTTGACGCTTGACGCCCATTTTCAGTGTCAAAACAGATCACGTAATAAAAATGGATGAATAGCAAGCGTCAATTTCAATCAAGTAACCTAATAGGTGCATCCAGAAGCACGACCGCTCATTGAGCTCTCAGTAAGCTCTTGTACCTGTTTGGTTTATATTTTTAGATCTAATAGAATATGCCAATCAGATAAAAAAGCTTATTGAGCGCTCAGTGAGCTCTTGTACCTGTTTGGTTTATATTTTTAGACTTAATGGAATATGCCAATTAGATAAAAAAAGCTCATTGAGCGCTTAGTAAGCGGTCGTGCTTCTGGATGCACTTATTGGGCGCGTTCAGCGGACTCAACAGTTGAGTGAGCGCTCGCTGTTTATGGTGTATTCTTTTAGATCATCCAATCAGAATTTTAGATCTAGAAGAATACACCAATAACAGCGAGCGCTTACTCAACTATTGAGTCCACTAAATGTGCCTAATATGAAATGGTATCTTTATTCGCAGCTGAGCTTTTCAAATCTTTTCTCTCTTTCTTTCTAACGTCAAATTGTATATCCATGATCATAAATCTATGTTTTAAAACGAGATAAATATATATATTCGGTTATCAGAGAAAAAAAAAAGTGAAGATTTTGTGTTTAGAAAGTCCAAACCACGCGAATAGGCTTTATATCGAAAAGTAAAAAATATGACAAGGAATATACCTCGAGAAATTTGCGTTTGCATATGAGAGTGTGCTTGATATTTCCATAAAAATTATTTATTTTCTCCTTTTTCTTTTTTTATCTTTTCTTTTCCTTTTATATGTGATATGTATTGTTAGATGGAATTAATTTCACATTTGATTTCTTGGTTGTGGGGGAATTCACTGTTTTTAAACATTTCTTGATCCTTTTTTATTTATATTATTGCTTTATCTCGAAAGAAGGCTAAAAAAAAATGAGCTGAAACATGTAAGCATATTTATTATAAAATAAAGAAGTTTTGTTAGTGCCCTTTTCTCTACAAGTTCATATTTGATTTATACAGGAGTTTTTGTTATTCAAAATTATTATATGTCATAAAAATTATATTGCATGTGTTTATAACAATTCCCGGATAGCATATGATGTTCTGAGAGAGAATATTTTGAGAATATTCTGAAAATGTCACAAGACATATTGTCAGAATGTTCCTATTTCCACTCAGATTTCTTTTGTTTGACTGCGTTAGAAAACAATACTCAATTATCCAATACTTCGGAGTATCATTTTATCTTCGTTTAGCATTTAGTGAACAACAAAGATAAAATGATACTCGAACACTCGGATAATATTTTTGAATACAGCCCTTGAGAGCAATAGTTAAAACATCTTCAAAATATTCTCAGAATAATGATAATTCTCATGTGCAATCTGGGAAGTATACAAAAACTAAAGGAAAAAATAAAAATTGATCCTCTTGACCCCGACGTGATTTGAACACGCAACCTTCTGATCTGGAGTCAGACGCGCTACCGTTGCGCCACGGAGTCATGTAGTAGTGACACTCGAATTGCGCTCACTTCAGGCCACTGAACTCGGTAATGTAGCCCAATGTGGCCCAATGTAGCCCAGCCAAAATGCTCACTGCGCGTGTGCAGATATTTTCTCCGCTTTCCCTTAATTCTCATCCTCTTTCTTTCTTTTTTCATCCGAATGGATCTTTCATTTTTCCCTTTCTCTGTTTTTCCGTAAAACGTCAAGCGCGTGCTTATCTTCGAGCGAAGTGAAGAGATGGAAGAAAAAGTTTTATAGCGTTTTCTCTTGGCTGCACCATAGTGTAGGATGATTGCACCAGTTTATCTTTTTTCCTTTTCCCTTCTCCTGGAGAGAAAAGGAAGAAAGGTGAACTAGTGCAAAAGTTCAGCAATAAAGAACAGACTTATACTGTCTGAGCGTTGCACTGGTGCAGCCAAGAGAAAATTCCAGAGTCGCACGGCGGACCGTGGGATATGAGTGAATCCGTTTTGCCGCCATTTTGCTTGTTTGACTCGTGTAGCTTGCATCAGAAAAGACGATTTTGCGGACGATCTTGCGACTCGCGAGAGAATTCAAAGACACGCGATTTCGCGACGACCTGGAGTCTCAAGTGCATTGTACGAGTTGGGTGAATTTCGCGTACGATCGAACATTGTCGCGCCAGCTCGAGTTCAATTGTTCGAACAATTCCGTTGGTCGAGCGAGATTTTGAATTCAGGACGCTTCTTCGGACGGAGTTGGCACTTCGGCGTGATGCGATGGCGAGTGCTGGAAACATGGGAACCTGGTAGTAACCTCAATCTGTTGTTTACCTGGCTCGCGGAATTCGTGCGACGCGGAAACTACGAGCACAGTGAGAGTGAGAGACGTAAATGACGTGATCGGAGTGATTTTTGATAAGGTGCAATAAGGTGAGGTTAGAAGTGTTCTATAATTCGTTCTATAATTCCGTCTAACGCCTTCGGCTAACCTCGCGCGGGAAAGCTCGGTCCGTGAGAATAGATGGTGAGATAATTACAGGTAAAAAAGTAAAACACATTTCTTCAAGATAAGAAAATAAATAATTTATTCGGCGGAAACTATGTGAATTAATTCACATTTACTTTTACCTGTAATTATTTCACCATCTATTCTCGTCATAATTTATCAAAGCAATTAATATTATTGCATGCTAGAGGTATGTCTGTGTTTTCTATGTATTTATAATTCTATTTCCCTTTGGGGCGACCAAGGACGCCAGTTTCATGAATGGATTAGATACTGTACTGGAACTAACTGGAACTTTAGAATGCGCGCATGCGCGAGTGGGAGCTACATCTGGCATCACGCCGCGGATGAGCTCGTTTCAATTGTTTTGTTCGTTATTTTGCACTTTTCGACGACTAGGGCTCTTATAACGCGCGTTATTGCGACGTGACGACGCCGTAGACCGGTCGAGCAACGCCATTTTCGCGGGCATTGCATCACCCGTTCGTTTTCATATTTTTGTACGGTTTGCTTTAAAGACGTGATCTGGCCGTATCAACCTCCTATTTCATTGCTTGTAGGCGGGAGCCATTATTTAAGGAAGAAGAAGAAGAGTTTTGTTTGTGTGTGCTACTGGTTGCGCCAGGCCGCCGACCGATGGCGCTATCATCGAGTGATGCAGACGAGTTGGAATTGGAAATCGAATCACTGATTCCACCGCCTTTGGAAAACTTTAACGAGAGTGATGGGACTGGGTCCAGGCTCATGATCATCAAGATCGTCAATGAAAACTTCAAGAGCTACGCTGGTGTGCATGTGATCGGTCCCTTTCAAAAGGTAAACATACTGGTGGTGTATGTATTTGATTCTTTTGCCTGATTTCATAAATATAATTGTTCATAGATAATGTTTTAAGACGCTAATCCAGCCTTTTGATTAGTTCGTGATACCTGAAGACAAAACTTAAGATGGTCTTGAATATTAGAACTGACTATTGCTGTTTTCCAAATTTATTTTCAGTACTGAAAATTTATAGTTTACATCACATGTATTATGGATATTCAGTGCTGACAAATTTTTGGAACATAGCTTATGAATGTCAATCTAAGACTTTAATCTGGTTTACTATTCATTAGATATTTAAATTTAAGTATTAATTATCTTTTTTTCTAATTTAAGGAGCTATGCAGAATAAAAGGAACAGAGAACAGAGAATAAGAATTTCAACCTATCAGAAATCATGTACTATGGAATACACACTGTTTATTCCATAGTATATGATTTCTGATAGGTTAAAATTCTTATTCTCTGTTTCCTGTTCCTTTTATTCTGCGTAGCCCCTTAGAATTAGAGAAAGATAAGTATAGTAAATTAAACTAAGATTACATTAATTTATAGAACTTGACCTTAATAATGAATTCCATTATCTGCATTGTATTAAATTAATGCATATTACGAAGTGTTTTATATAAAGTATCTAAATGCAGTGACTCAATAACTTTGACAATTAAATATGTATATATATTGTTAAATGACGCACACACACACACACACACACACAATATTATTGAATATTTAATCATTTAAAATATTTATGTTATGCAGTAGGTATGAATTATCTCTGTATCCAAGTCCATTATCAGAATACCAGCATTTTATTACACTGTAGTTTACTTCATTATATTTTTACATTTAATTTTGTTAATTTTATATACAGCAGCTTTTAGTATGCACTAATTTAATATAATACAAGTAGAATTTAGTAGCTATAAGTGTTATCAGAGCAGTTTACCAAAGTTAAATTAGTATATACTTTCGGAATTTGAAGTTAAATATGCATATGTTTGATGTTTAAGATAAGTGAGGAAGTTCTTGTGCATTTTAGTGCAAGGATAAATAACAGACTTATGTTTTTTTTCCTTTAGAGCTTTTCGGCGATAGTGGGTCCTAATGGCAGTGGCAAGAGCAATGTGATAGACTCTATGTTGTTTGTGTTTGGTTATCGTGCTAGCAAAATTAGATCAAAGAAGATTTCTGTCTTGATACACAATTCCAATCAGCATCCAAACGTGAACAGCTGCACCGTTTCTGTACATTTCCAAAGAATTATTGATAAGGTAATAATATCTGGAGACATGGTAGTGTCTCGGTCAATGATACAGTTTAGGATACGTTTCTTTTTTATACTCACATGCTGTAAGCATTGTTTTATCCTTGTTGTCTATCAATTATTAAACAAAGACAAATGATGCTTACATGCATCATGAGCATAAAAGCGAACGCATTCTTAATGTATAAGTAGAAGTGTGATGATTCAATTTCTGTTAATAATTAATAAGAATACTAAATTTTTAATCAAATTAATTTTAAGCCTGGTGAAGATTATGATGTTGTTCCGGATAGTGAATTTGTTATATCTAGAACAGCGTTCAAGGATAATTCATCACATTATGAGCTTAATAAGAAGAAAGTACAATTTAAAGAGATTGCTAAGCTCTTGAGGTATCATGGAGTTGATTTGGATCACAATCGTTTTTTGATATTACAGGTACAACCATAGAATGTTTTATTATTAGTAGAATCTAGAAATAGATTTAATTCTAAATGATTTAAAAAAATTATATAAATGTATGTAACCGATTTGATCTTATTTTTATATCATTTTTAAAATAATTTGTGTTATATATCAAACTTTTGTTATATAAATCAAACTTTATATAGAGTTAATTTTACTCTGAATTAATCTTTTTATATACATTTGTTGACTATTTCTTAAACACATTTAATATTTTTAATTTTTCTAATGTTCTTTTTTTGAAAGAATATCAAAATATTTACAAAAACTTAGTTTATTTTAAGAGTTAAAACATATTAAATTATATATTAAAAATTAATCTAATATATATTAAATACATTCAAAATCATTACAATATATATTAATTACATTAAATTGATAAAAAGCTACATGAGAATTATTTTTTTAGGGTGAAGTAGAACAAATTGCACTAATGAAACCAAAAGCTCAAAATGAAAACGATACGGGAATGTTAGAATTTCTTGAAGATATTATTGGCACATCTCGTTACAAAGAACCTTTGGAGAAATTATTGAATAAGATTGAAGAGCTAACAGAACGTAAATTAGAGAAGCTACATCGTCTCAGAGTCGTGCAAAAGGAGAAAGAGGCCTTGGAAGAACCTATGCAAGAGGCGGTAAAATACTTAAAGATGGAAAATTCAATAATCAGTTTGCAGCATCAAATTTATCATTGCAAAAGGTGAATTGACTATAAAAATAGTTTTATTATTTGACTTAAATCTGAAGATATTTGGAGCATTATAGCAGCCCAGCTAACTATTGAAAATTACGAACTTTCTATCAGATCCGAGGCAATGAAGAAGATTGTTGAGTGCGAAGCGACGTACGATAGTATTACTAAGGAATATACTACATTAACAGACGAGATGATCAGCGTTGACAAACAGAAGGAAGAAAAGATCAAGATTATCAAGGGAAAGAGTAAGAAGTGGGACGCTTTGCAACGGCATAAGGACGAAGCCACGGCGAAGTTTGACGAAATACGTAAGCAGGATGAATCGCTGCATGCCGAACTGGTAGAGGCAAATAAGCGGCGGAAAGCTAATATAGCATCCACTAAAACGGTAATTCTTCACTTTATTATCTTAACAAAAAATATTGAATTTACATATTATAAATATTATACTTTATTATACACGTTTTTGTTTGTATCAAATTATATACTTGGCAATTTATGTAATGATGACAGGAGAAAAGTAAGCTGGAGGAACTTCTGAAGGTACCAGAGAAAAACACTAAGGATATAAAGGAATGCGAGTATTTGATCGAGACACAGATGGCCAACAAAGAAAAGGATGAAACTGCGTTGGCAACTTTGATGTCGAATCTACGGGAAAAGACAGAACCGTTACTAAATGAGAGATCCAAGTTAGAGAAACAGCTGATATCTCTTAGGAAAGACGTGGATCAAGCAAAAGCCGCATACGATATCGCGCAATCTGAATTGGAACTTTATATATCGGTGGAGAAAGTCGAGAAAGAAAAATTAGAAAATCTTCGAGAGTCTTTGGAAAGAACTGCGAGTACTCTTAAAGAGCGACAAAAGCAGTTGGCATTATTTGAGACGAAAATCCCAGCAACCGAGCGCAGTTTGAAACAGGCTCAGAGCGAACTAAATGAAGCAAAGGCACTCGAAATCGAAAAAACCACTCAGCTGCAAAAAATGCGAATTACTCTTGAGGAGCAGCGTTCTGCCATGCACGCCAGCAGGTCACGAAATCATGTCTTAGACTCATTGATGAAAGAAAAACGTGAGGGACGAATACCTGGAATATTTGGGAGACTGGTGAGTGTGAGATTTTCCGAGATAAAACATACGAAATAAAACATTGCATTAGTTATTAGCCCTGATAAATATTCGTAGATTGAATGGACTCGAATCTAGTCGGATATTTTTTCAATTACGTTGTGAAAAATTGTCTTTTGTTAAATGTTTTTCACAACTTCATATATTTTTAAATCACACAGTCTTATTCTTTGAATTTTGGTTTTCGATAAAATGAAAAAAAAAAAGTTTAATTGTGTTAATTGTGAACAAAGATACATTAATTTGAAACACTGAATCTGCAAATACCTTTTCTTTTTTTTTTTGCTTAAAATAATTTTTGTAAGAATTTGTTTTTGTGTACAGGGCGATTTGGGTGCTATTGACGTCAAATATGATGTCGCTGTGTCGACGGCATGCGGTCCACTGGACGATATTATTGTGGATACAGTAACCACTGCACAGGCATGTGTCACCTTTCTGCGACAACATAATATAGGACGCGCTACATTTATAGCTTTGGAAAAACAGCAACGATTCCAGACCAAGATAAATCAGAGAATTCAAACACCAGAGAACGTACCTCGACTGTTTGATCTGATTAAAGTGGAAGATGAGCGAGTGCTGCCAGCGTTCTATTATGGTCTACAAGACACTTTGGTAACGCAGGATTTGGATCAGGCAACACGCATCGCTTATGGTAGGATGCGGTTTCGCGTGGTAACATTAAAAGGCGAACTGATCGAGCTATCGGGTACGATGAGTGGTGGTGGTCGTACTGTATTCCGAGGTCGGATGGGTCAGAAGGTGGTGAGAAATGAGCCGTCGAACGCAGATATTGAAAAATTACAATCACAGCTAGATATCGTGTTTGAAGAGTGCAATAAGTTGAGAGCGAAGCAAAAACCTTTGGAAGAACAAATTCACGTGTTGACATCTGGTTTAAGGGATATGAAAGTTGATAGGCAAAAATTTAATATTGAAGTACAGGCGCTGAGTGAGCAGGAGCCATCATTACGAGTGCAACTGAATGCGCAGGAAAAAACTGCCGCCAACGCTGTAGCAGATCCAAAGAAAGTTATGCAACTGCAGAAAGCTGTGGAAGCAACGAAATTGCATTTAGACAAAGTCGAAAAGAATTCCGCTTCGATAGAAAAAGAGGTGGGATGTATTAACAAGAAAATAGATGATATCTCTGGTAGTCGGGTGCGGGATCAGCAGGCGAAAATTGCGCAGCTGACCAAATCGATTGATAAAACCAAGGCAGAGATATATCGTTTGCAGGTGGCTATTAAGACTGCTGAGAGAAACGTCAAAAAAACTGAAAAACATATAGAAACGCTGGAAAGCGATGTACATACCTGCGAACAGAGGCTAAGGGACATTCAGAAAGAAAAATCCGAACTCGAGGAACATGCTAAAGTAATTCTGGATGAATTGAAGGAACTCAATGAGGCGCTGGTAGAGCGGGACGACGCTACATCATCTTTGAAAGATGAGCTGAATGAATTACAGGCGCGCGAGGACAAAATGAAGGCGACGAAGATTGATGTGGAACAGAAATTATATGAAAACAAAAAATCGTTAAAAGAGTTACAACAAATGATCCCCGTGTATAACCGAGACATAAAGAATTTGAAACTACGTCAGATTCCCCATGAAGCTTTAGAACCGTTTAAGGATTTAACTGAGGAGGATATCAATCAATTGGACATGAAGATGTTGCTGCAGAATTTGCAGAGGATGAAGAAAAAACTACCCGAGCAGATACCTAACATGCAAATCATCGCGGACTATGAAGAGAAAGATGCGCTGTACATGAGTCGTGCCGCTGATCTGGAAGAGACGACATCGGCACGTAACAAGATGCGTGACATCTACGAAACTGCTCGGCGACGCAGGATTCAGGAATTTCTGCACGGTTTTAGCTTGATCACTACAAAATTGAAGGAGATGTACCAAATGATTACGCTTGGTGGCGATGCGGAACTGGAACTGGTGGATTCGTTAGATCCGTTGAGCGAGGGTATTGTATTCAGTGTGCGTCCGCCCAAGAAGTCATGGAAGAGCATCGATAAACTCAGTGGCGGTGAGAAGACTCTAAGTTCGTTAGCGCTGGTTTTCGCTCTCCATCATTACAAACCCACACCTGTATACTTCATGGACGAGATCGATGCGGCGCTTGACTTCAAGAACGTCTCCATTGTTGGTAACTACATCAAAGAACGCACGAAGAATGCACAGTTTATCGTCATTTCATTACGTTCAAATATGTTCGAATTGGCCGACTCTTTGGTGGGCATCTACAAGACATTTAATTGCTCTAAAACTGTGACTCTTCAACTGTCCCGTTACTACGAAAATAATGGTATCATGCCGCCTACACAGCTTACCTCTAAGACTTACTCGTCCCAGGCTTCGCAGAAATCACGATTGCCTTTGTCGCAACACACTCAGTCGAATTCGCGCAAGGAAAACACCACGCCCGCGAAGGATAATAATGCGAAAGAAACATTATCGAACGGAAAAGAGATGTCGCCTGCGAAGAACAGTAATGTGAAAAAGACGTCATTGAACGGGAAAGAAACATCGCTCGCGAAGAACAATAATACGAAAAAAGCGTTATTAACTAAGAAAAAAACATCCTCCGCGAAAAACAATAACGCGAATGAAATACCATCAGATGTGGAAGTAAACACAACAAAAAATAATGCAAATGAAACACCGAATGGAAAGCGGAAGAAAGTTGATCCATTAGGGTAAGTACTGAAGTCATTATTTCTTAAGATTCCAGAGACTTAAGGTTCCTTTTATTGTAATTACATTACGCGAATAGTGAAAAATGATCTAATTTTCTAATTATAAGAAATATAAATTTGTTTTTTGCATGTTATATGATAAATATATTGGAAGTTATTTTTTATTAAGTAAATTATTGATGAATGATTACATTTTGGAAAAAAGCAATATATTTTGTACTGCAAAGTATAAAGAAACGACGGTCTAAATCGAGCGGTAATAAGATTTTTATATAAAATAAATTTATAGTTTATAATGTTAGTACAACATAAAATAAAAATAAAAATATATAAAGAATATAAAAAAATAATATTATAATATTGAACGTTTCGGAACTCACGGGTCTTTCTTTAGCGATTCTTGAAGATGTTACGAAGTCATAGAGATGAATAATCTTACGGTCTAAGAAACATGGTGTCATTACAGGTTATTGTAACATTTGCGCTCAACAGAATCAGACGAATATGTAAAGATGCTCCTGTTTTCACACATTTTATTATACAATTTCCATATTCACATAAAAACAGGAGAATCAATTTCTTCGAAACAATTGTACTGCACCATGTCGCTTAGACCATAAGATTATTTATTTCTATAACTTTATAACATCTTCAAGAATCGCTGAAGAAGGATCCGTGAGTTCCAAAATGTGTTTGATATTATATTATATTTTTTTTATATTCTTTACATATATATTTTATTTTATTTTTATTTTATGTTATACTAACATTGTAAACTATAAATTTATTTTATAAAAATCTTATTACCGTTCGATTTAGACCGTCATTTCTTTATACTTTGCACTGCAAAAAATGAACGAAATCTAAATATCTTGTACTGTTTAACAATAAATTGATTGAGTTAGCGAATGAAAAATATGTTTTTTTAAAAGAGATTAGATATGAGTTATCTTAAGCACTCATCACGTGAAATAATTTTTTTTATCGATTCCTTGCTTTAATTAAGACTACATAATTGTATTTTATATTTATTGTTAATGCAGAACGTATCGTAACTTGTCGAAGTTGTAGCAAAATATTTAAAAAATTTAAAGATGTTGAATAAAAAAAGACTTCTGTGTTGTATTTAATACAATAATTTAAAAAATATATATCTTAGACACGCTAAAATCCACACGCCATTGAGAAGACACTTGCTTAGACAATAAAAATAATATGATAAAATATAAGTATAATAAAATATAATGATATAATAAAATGTATTAAAATATAATAAAATATATTAAAATTTTGTGTAGTAGCAAAAGAGTCGAAGCGATTTTATTATCTATTATTGTAAATTTCACATTGAAATTCATTATTGCATCGTTAATTGTTGTAGTCTTCCGAAATTGACGATATGCCTAACACCAGTGTCAACGCCAACCCGGCAGTCTCCCAGGCTCGCGAAGAAAAACATGGAAAGGACAGAGAACGACAACAAGGAACCGGCTAGAAAAAAGCAAAAGTCGAAGTAACGTGGCACTTCCAGAATCAGTATGAAATGATACGAGGCTTGAAGCTGACAAATAGTATAAATATCTATTATAAATAAATATTTTATTTTTGCATAGTAAATTACATATTTTATTTTTGCATAGTAAATTACAGAATACGACTTTTTTTGCGTCCTTATAGCCCTTTAACATTGATTAAGGATGTAAAGTAATGTATTATAACTATGTAGAAAGTTATCATAAGGTTATTATAACAAGTAATAAATTAATAGTCGATATAATTTTATTTTTAAATTTAGTGTTACACATGTGTGTGAATTCTCAGTTCTGTCGAATGATTCAAGATTTTTGTTTAGAATATTGAGAATACTTGTGTAGCAAAATAAGATACATGATCTACTTCTTTTATCTTTTTTTCTTACATTACATTTACTTTTTTTTTATTGTTAACAATCAAATATGTGTATGTATTTCATTTTGAATATAAATGAGCAATTTAATTCAGTTAAGAGAAGTGGATCTATCGTAAGTGCAAAATGCAATATTTTTATATGTTTGTACAAGTCACCAGAAATTATATTAAATTGCTATTGAAACAAGAATTGAAATGCTTGATGTCTAATTTTACTCTCGGATAGTCCTAATACATCCTTATTTACTCATACTTATTCCTCATAATTAGGGAATTTATTTTCAATTGGAAAGATTATTTGACGAATTTGTCTTTTCAGACATTTGGATGTTCACTCGAAGTGATTGCGATTATGCTAATATTACAGATGAACGAGCAGTGCATTCAAAAATCCGGAAAAAGTAATTCAAGACTGACGTTCGCCTCGCCGCGAAACAATTTTTTTCAGATATGTTTTGTATTTTACTAAACAAATATTTCTTCCTTACTCTGCTGAACAAATATTTCTTCCGAAAAGAATTTAAGTCGCGATTTTAGACAGTATTTCCGTGTGAAGGGGGGGATAAAGAAATCGGGTAAATCACCTGTTAAACTGCAACGACGTTGACGGCGCCGATGATAATGGAGAGAGGGAACGGAAACGAGACCGTAAAGGAAGGGGCATGCCCGTATAAATATCGCTACGGCGGGTGAGATAAGGATTTTAACGGAGTGCGAGGAGACGCGACGTGCGAAATGACGGCCATCAGAAAGGATGACAACGCCGATGACGTCGAGAAAACGTCGCAGAAGATGCCCACCGCGGTGTCTCCGACCCTACAACAGAGCTGTAAGAAAATCGTCAGTGACTGTGGATAATACTTGAATTTAATATTCGAATAAGGATTTAACAGACGACTGAAAGGATGCGATTGCAATCTGTGAAGTTTATTCGAAGATCAGATTTCTTATAGCGTATCTAATTGGAAGCACTAGTGCACACTGGTGCGTATTAAAGCCGTTATACACTGATTTAATTTGAGTGTAAAAGTGAAAAACAAATATTTGAAATTATAAAATACATTTTACAATACTTAACAACACAATAAAGTATTGAATATTTCACGGTTAAGCCGATTTATTACAAACATATCTTTGGTCAATTTATGTATGACGGCTTTAATGTGCACTAGTGCGCATTGAAAGCATACAGTTGACTTCGCTATTAGGGTTTCCAAGTAGCAAGCTGGCTATTTAAATAACATTTTTACGATAACGACACTTATCATAATTGTACTCGATAAACAAATTTTTGAAAAAAACTACACGTGTTAGCTATGAGGTATCATAAAAGATGTTTATTTTTTATGAGATGTATTTCTGTAACATGTACTTTTATTTTTCTATAAATGTGTTTAAAGTGGAATAGAAATGTGTTTGGTCAACACATAAATATTGTTCAATTAATGAAATGCTTGGAACAGATAAAAATTTATAATTTTTAGATATAAATTTAGAATTAGATTGCGAATTACAAACTTACAGGAAAAGGCTCAAAAATGGTCCTCACTGATTTCAATGAAACTTGACAGGATTATAGAGTACGTTTCCCTGTGAATATAAATATATTTGGACATGACTGTCCCCGAAATATTAAATTTCAATATTAAAAGTAGCGGCTTCATTAAAATTTATTTGAACGTTTATACTCGTTTATATACTCAAGTTTAGACTATTTGTAGCGTAGTGGATATAGTAGTAATACCTCTTAACTTATAAACTTGAATTTAAACCTCATTAGCATTTAATTCTGTTCTATTATATAATAAGTTTTATATAATAGAAATAATTGATAGATAAAAATTATTGCGTTCGTTACAGATTACTATCGTTACAAATTTTAACGTTTAAGTTTTGACAGAAAGCAAATAAAACATAAATTTTTAAAGCATAATTTTTTAACTTGAATATAAAGTCTAATGATTTGCGCTATTAAATTTAATATTGAAATATTTCAGAAATGGTTTACATCTAAATAGAAATATAGTTTTTATTAAAAATTCATTTAAAATCTTATGAAATATCACATGTTTCTCGCGCGTAGGAGAACATTTGTAGCTTCAATCAAATTAAAGCCATTGAATTTAAGTAGGTGATTTATTTGGCGCAATTTATTATTTGTTTGTTTATTTTTTTTACGTTGTAATGAGATAAGTTTGCAAATGGGACTTAAGGCAAAGGTATCTAGTGTATCCTAGTGTAGTTGTGTGGAATGCACACGTTAAATTAATCCTATCATCGAGTCAGTCGCGATCGATGATCTTTAGACGATCGTAATTGTTGGTATCGGATTAGTCATTGTAAAGACACACTGAAATAAAAACACGCGTAAAAATACCTCTACATTTTTTTTTAACAAAAATTATTTACAAAAGTGCATTAAGAAGCAGTGAAAGTAAAATATAATAATGGATCGCAAGTTATTTATGACCTAACTAATGTAGAGTGATATTACGAAAATGTAGAATTTTATTAGCATGCAAAACGATCTCAATACATATCGGTTGAATAATATCACAAATTTATCTTTTTTTTTTATTACAATTGTATAATTTTGTTTAGAATGCACATACTACAACAAAACTCGCATACTTCTTGATCGTTCATACACATTATAGTATACAATTGCGTTGTTAAACTTCACAAGATCACCTTGAAGATAAAGCACAGTGAAATATACTCGATTTTAAGTTTAAAAAAGACAGCATTTAGCAAAAATACAGTTTAAGAAAATATGTGCATAAAAGTATTTCAACATTTCCATAATTTTAATCGTAATTTGACTCTATACTTCGCCCTTTTATTTGATTAAAATTATTTTTTTAAACGATAAAAAATTCGCAGAGAAAAGGTAGTTTTTAAAATAAAAGTACTTGTCATTTGTTATATAGTATCTTCCCTGAACTATTTATTATATCACTAAAAACGATTATAAAAAATATAGAAAGGTCGAAACAGTAAAGTAACAAAAATGTAAAAGTAAATTAGTAATAACACACACACACCCGCACGCACACACAAAATATTGGTAATAATTAAAAGTGATCAGAAACGTTAATAACAACAGTGCTGTCTAAAAATTTATGAAGAATATTTAATAAAGCGAAGACACACGTATAAAATTCTTCAAAATATAATATTTTAAATCTTTCAATTGACTCAATTATGCTGCCATTTGAGTCTTAATTTTGTAATTATCCACAAAAGATGTTGAAAGTGTTTTTCTAGCACGTATTCGATAATTCTCTTGTTTATCGTTTGGTTATTTTATCTCGGATTATCGGGTGTGCAAGTTGTAAGTTCGCTTCGTTTCGACTGCAATAAAAAGCGATCGTCACCGCGTTATCGACACTTAGAGTGAGCTGCCGTCTATAACTTGGGATCGATGATCCAGAAGTACAAACCGTGCGCGATGATAGACGGATCACGAGTCCATTTTGCTATACATTATTTTTCTCGCATTAATGAATAATTACGTTGTACAAAAATTTTTTTTTATTTTATTATTTAGAATATATAATATTATCTCGATATCTGTGTATCTTCATAAATCTTGTTATACGTATCAAAACTTATTTTTGTACCCTATTGTCCCTGCTATGTCTTATCGGATCTGATTCGCTATATCGATTTTATCATCCAATTTTGATGAGAAATATATCGTTCGAACTTGGCACATTTTTTTCACTTATGTTTTAATACTTATTATTATCGCATTCTACTTGTTTCTAAGGAATGCAATGCTTACATCGATAATATATTTTTCCCTGTTGTTAAATCGGTGAACTCAATGTAAAATTGTCATAAAGCTTCTCGTTTTCATATCATTGTATTATCGAATATTTTACTTGATAGAATTAGCTGTATATATATCATATATAGCTAATTTAAATAAATGTATATATATATATATATATATATATATAACACAGAATAATTAAAAATATAATCTTAAAATTATTTATATCTTTATAATATTAATGAAATGTATATCAGTCTGATGATAAGTTTCAAGGTAATTTCTCTAACAAGCAAATAATGTTTTTTTTAAATCAAAATTTGGAATTGTTTTTTTGCAAAGAATCTTATTTTACTAAACCGTATTTTACAAAAAACTGAAGAAACAGCATACACGTTATCCACGTGTTTTTCTTCTCTCGAGTCATTATCTCGCTGTATGTTAATTAGATATCATCGGCACATACCTATGTAATTATACGTATCCTATACAATTACGTGATGATTAGTAATGATTTTGTAACGGAAAATTAATATGGAATTTTAATCACTATTCAAGCTATTCATGTCTATAAGTGAAACCAGAAAATTAAATCGATTTATAAAACAAAGAATTCTTGTACAAAACCGTTGATTAAAGAATAAATTTTAATTAGAATTGATATCTTATGTTGTATGTTAAATAAATGATTTTGATGCAAATCGATGATCATTTTAAATTAAATATATAAACAGTTATATAAACTTGTTATCGCAAAATATTTTTTGTTCTTTTGACTGAACTTGTATGTATATGAACTCTTTATCTATATTTTCTCTTTTTTTTTCTCCAATGTAAAGAGAAAAAGGGGAAAAGGTCTTTCTAGCAAACTATACATATATTTGTACTTAAACTAAAAATATATTTTAAGTTTGAGACGAAAGTAAAATAGAAAATTTTAGTTCAATGCAGCGATAAAAAATAAGTCAATTTTCAGTTAGGCTGCATTCAGAAATATTCAGATGCACCAAAGTATATCATTTTATTTTAATTTAACGTTCATTAAACAACAAAGATAAAATGATATTATCATATAAATTCCCGCATTTGTTGTAACGACAGTTTATCCGTTTTATTTCTCTCTTTACGTTGAAAAAAAAAGAGAAAAGATAAACGATACCATAAATTCAGTTAAAAAAAACAAGTCTATTGACCTATGGAAGTACGACCATGGTTTAATTCGTTTTTCTAATGCCGCGTGGTGCAAGCGAAACTCGCTTTCGAGATTTGTAGGCAGGTACTAACACCTACGGATTTATGTTAATCGAATTTGTCACTCGTTATCATAAATGGGATTAATTATGAGATTATATATAGCTATTATAGTTGCAGTAACTATGTATAATTCAATTACATATCAGTAACTGCAATATACTCGCTGTAATAACACTTAATTTATCATTATATCGGTATAAGTCGGTGTAAGTCGTGACAAAAATTTTAAATTTTTTTAAATGGCAAAAATTATTTTTATTTTTTACCGAATGAGGAAATATTATTCATTACTATTATTATTATGTTTAATATTTCATGTTATTAAATATTATCACCTTTTACTTTATATCAATAGTTATACTATTTCAATTAACATTTTCATTTTATTATAAGCAGCTTTTTTTACAACTGACTAAGGCCACATAGTTTTACTCCACTTGTTATTTATATTCGAATATCTTTTGTTGTTTGCTCAACTTGTTTACTTAATTATCGCTAGTACTTGAGATTAATCTTGATTCAAGATTAATTTTAATATTGTACTATGATGACAATCATTTCTAATCCGACTTAAGCTTGGATGTTGAGCAAAAATGATATTCGCTTTTTTGATTGATTAGGTAATCGATATCTAATTCGGATCGTTTGCTTTATGCGCAAGTGTCCTATCCAATTATCGTGGCAAAATAAGTATTAAATTAATAATAAGAAAATTAATAAAGGACTCTTTATATAAACAACAAACGAAATGAGCAAAGGACGTTGTAAGAGTCATACAAAATAAATTTTTAAAATCGAGAGCCGAAACGTTAAGTAGTATATGGAATTTTGTAATCATTTTTATTTTTGTTTTATTAATGTATAATTCAGAATTATGTAAGATGATATTTTATTATATATGACAGTTATGTTTTATCTATCGTTTTTAAAAATTTATTTTGTATGACTCTTACAACGTCCTTTGCTCATTTCGTTTCTTATTAAATTGTCTTACCATATTGTCTATTTTAACGTAATACATTTTATTATTGGAAGATAAAAAAAGTTTTGTAAATAAATATTAATCAATTTGCTATTAAATCATATTGATCGGAATAAGAGAATGAAATTCTTTCGCAGGTATGTTCGGGATCAGACACCTTCAAGTATTGCTGCTTTTCCTAGCTATGACCATCGGGTACACTCTCAGGGTTGGAATGTCAGTTGCCGTGGTCCCGATGGCGAATTCGAGTACTGCAAATCCAAATATCGAGGTAAAATTATGTAATTATGTCTTTTTATCTTGGTTTAAAACTGAACACTGATGCTGATCAAACAATTTAAAATACTCGAGATTACGTCTTAGCAATTGTCAAAGAAGTGTACTGAACACGCTACATTATATAACAACTCGATGAACTCATTGTTGCTTGGGAAAACCTATGTATACAAAACATCTGCACAATTGCTCTCTTGTGTAAGTCTTTATATTTATAGTCTCTCATTATAATTTAATGATATAAATCTCATGTGCGATTTTACATTTCTGTTTAACAAAATTGTTAAGTCTGACCAATTATTTGAAAAATTCTAATCTCTTTTTATAACACATATCTCACACCTACAATTATTGAAATACCATTTATATTTTTTAAAGATATTTAGATTTGTAACGATACTAAATTTTACGTTCAAAACATCGAACTTTGCAGTTGATTTAACGTAGATCTCGTAGACTTTTAAATTGGGTTGCATCCAGTTGAAAAAGATATTTGAAGTTATTGAATTATTAAATTTGTCCGATCGAGCGTAACTGCTTACGTCGATAGATCGGTTTTTACCGGTCATAGAATGTCCCGTAAATTTGCGCTGTCACCGAGCTGGAATCTGTGTCGGAGGAAGGAAATTTTCCTCAACAGTGTCCGCGAAATCGAGGGAGTAAAGGGTATTGGGTCAGACTGAATGTGATGAAATACTGTTCCTCTTCGCGCGCGAGATTGATCGCGGTAACTAGATGAATCTAGTTACAGGGGCTTTCCGCGATTCTTTATGTTGACCAGCTGTAGAATACGAAGCCGATATAATCATTCTTACGTGATTTCTTGCGTATAAATGTACGGATCTCGAGTGTAGATAACAATTACTGTTGTCTTTTCAAGGTCACTAATAATAAGAATCGATAATAATTGATTGTCAGATTCTAATCGCCAATATTGTCTCTTCAGATTGTTGATAAACTTGGCGGATTTATCTTATATCATTTTTAAATTCTTGTTTGTGCTGAAAGATCAAGAACAAGAGATCGGGATATAATCTGTGCAATTCGTACATAAGTAATGATAAAATTTAGGGAGATGATCTAAAGCTGAAAAATTTTAATGGCTATAAATTTTATTGTATATGGCGCATTTCCACGTGTCAGGAATCCACCAAAAAATAAACCGTTTGGGATTTTTTAAATGGTTATGAAAACACGTCAGTGCACATATCGTATAAGATCTAAGGAAAAAAAATGAATACATAAAATTTCGTATGCTTTATTTTTGACCCTCAAACTTATACAATATACGCATTAACATTTTTCATGGGCGTTTAAAAAATCTTAAACAGTTTATTATTTTTAGGTGAATCCTTGACATGTAGATTGCACCATATATAATGTATAATTATATATAATATGTATATATACACGCATATGATTACGTCAAGTAAAGTAAAATAATATCATAAAATAATTAATACTTTTTGTTGCGAGCAAAAATTATATAATACAGAAGTTATACAATAGTTGGTTTAATAATGATTATGATATACTTAGCTCTTTTATTAAATAATATCCTACTACATTTTCATTATATACTGAGGTTTAAAAATCATTAAAAAATTATATTAATAATTATGTTGGCAGGATTATGGTTGGAGTAAACAAGAGAAAGATTTGGTGCTCAGCTCATTTTTCTGGGGCTATGTGGTTACACAAGTGCCGAGTGGGTATTTTGCCAATATCTGGAGTGGTCAGAAGATCCTCTGCATCGGAATGTTTCTCTGTGGAATTTTCAAAATTATTACGCCGGTCGTCGCTCATTATGGAGGTCTATCGGCTGTCTTGGTTTGCAGGGTAGGCATGGGTCTTGCTCAGGCTTGTCTGTTACCTTGCATTCAAACCCTTCTCGCCAAGTGGGCACCACCCGCTGAAAGAGCACGATTGGGTGAGAATAGACTCAGAATCTGCGTCCGGTATATTCCAATCGTATCAGGAAACAACTAGTTCGCAAGTTATTTTATGAACAAATAATTAAATACATGATATAAATTATACAATAGAATTATTAAACGCCAATTAAATTGCTCGAAAGTACAGAAATATTATTAAAAATTTTTCAAAAGATTATTGATAAACGTAGAGTAGAGCGGAAACTTCATGCGAAAAATAAATTTTATATTTCTATCGTACAATAACTAATTGCTTTGCTATAATTAATACTGTGGATATATCTTTGCAATTAAATTAATCTATTTTATCCTCAGGAACATTCGCTTATGCGGGTGGTCAGTTCGGCACAGTGATCGCTATGCCGATTGCTGGACTTCTCTCCGAATCGAGTGTTGGTTGGCCCAGTATCTTTTATATATTCGGTTCATTATCAATTATTTGGAGCGTAGTATACTATTATTTAGGAGCAGACGCACCGTCCAACCATCGTAGTATTTCTCAAGAAGAGAGAATATTCATAGAAGAAAGTTTGAAAACAACTGAATCGAAAAACAATGATGAAGTCCAGGAGGTAAAAATTCATTATAAGACTCAACTAATAACTATGTAAAAAAGATTTTTTTTAATTTAGAATTTAAACTTTTTTTATATTACGTTATAACAACTACTAGTGGAAAATATATTTTGTTAATTTATTTAACAACTCATTAAGATTATATATGCAATAAAAGTAATATAATATATTTACATTTAGGATGATTTTGTACCTTTTAGAAGATGAAAACACCGTGGAAGGCGATGTTTACCTCGGTGCCTATGTGGGCTCTCATAATAGTTCACTGCGGACAAAATTGGGGGTATTGGACTTTATTGACAGAAATACCAAGTTACATGACAGGCGTGTTCAATTTTAAAGTTCAGTCGGTAAGTAATAAAGCAACAAAATAAAGAAAAAAGATAAGGAATATTTTTTCCTATATTAGTTTCACAAATTTTTCAAAATTTATTCATCAACTTCATTATTTTAATAGCTTATAATTTAATGTTCTCATAATTTATTCGAAATTATTTCTGTTTTAATCACAATTACATATATGATAATATTTTATCTAAATTAATTAAAGTATACTTTTCCTTTAATAGGGCGGTATATTTGCCGCTTTGCCATACTTGGCAATGTGGATTCTGAGCTTTCCTATGAGCTGGTTATCTGATTATGCGTTGGAGAAGAATGTGTCTAGGGCTGTAGTCAGAAAGATCACCAACACAGTAGCCCATTGGGGTCCGGCTATAGCCCTGGCATGTATGAGTCTCGCACCCACTGATACCTGGGCCATTGTCGTCCTCGTCATTGCAGTAGGTTTAAACGCTGGATCGTTATGCGGCTTCCAAATTAATCATATTGATCTTAGTCCAAACTTCGCTGGGACCATGATGTCTGTCACCAATTGTTGCGCCACTGTTATATCTATTATCGCGCCGTTGATAAGTGGTGTGATTGTGACTGACGAGGTAATCGTTTATTTTTTCCCGCTTGTTAAATATCAACAAATAGCAACCTAGTTTATTTATTTCTAAGAATTCTCTCTTTAATTATAGGCTTGTTCTTTTTGCCTGCACTGTCTGAATTGTGCACGAAATAAACGATAGGATATCTGTTTCACTTCAACTTATTGCACTCTGTGCACCAGTTCAGTAAAAAGAACAGACCTTTTGTCTCATCTAAACGTACTTTTTCATCCTTAATAAACTTAAGAAATTACTTTAAGAATGATGAGTTTCTATCGAGAGCTTACTCGCTTTTCAGAGCAGCGCGTTTCAGTGGAACATTGTATTCTACGTCTCAGCAGTAATCTACTTCGCGGGTAACTTAGTATTTGTGATATTTGGTAAGGGCGAAGTGCAATGGTGGAACGACCCAGAGGCACGACGACCAAAACAAAAAGCAGACGAAGAGAACGAGACGCGGAGACTTGAAATTTACTTAATCTAGTTAACTTTTGATACGTTCTTGAAATTTTTATAACTTGCCATAGGACTAATATGTGACTTAAAACCAGTTTGTAAGTCTGAAATCGGTAGATATACTATAAATTTAATATTAAACTCTTCTTAAAACTTTTCTTGAAATCGAAATTACGATCAACTAAGAAGTCATTATTTATTATCGTCACTGACGAACAGCTGTACATATCATTGCTCCGCCATGAAGTGTAATGTGATTTTTTTCAACTCTGTGTTACTCACATGGACTTATTATTCTATACGTCTGTAGTTACTGTTCACTGCCCATTTTTTTCACTTATCATTGTAGTTATTAATCTGATAATAAGGTTTAGACCTGTAAAATAAATTTTTACTCACGTTTTTCATAAAAACGAATTTTTTATTTTTATTTAAAATATTCTATAAGATTGCCTCAAACACGTTAAGAAGTAGTAAAAGAATCAAGTCCTGTAAAAAAAACTTTTCAAAATAGAATAAATTATTTATTCTATTATATATATTTTTGCATTTTATATTTTTTATTTTAATCTATCGTTTTTTATCGGTAGAATAAAAAGTTTCAAAATTATTATAAAAACTAATTATTTATTTTAAAATGTCTGAAATTGTCAAAATTGATTATGAAAAAATTATTTCAAAATAAATGTTTAGAAATTTGTTGCGAAAAAATATATCATAAAGTTTAAGTATATGTAAAAATGTGATTGTAAATATTTATTAAGATAAACAAAGTGACTAAAAATTTAATACAAATGTAAGTTTGTGTTAATAACTTGTAAAAATAGTTGTTATAATAATCATTGTAATATTTGTTAGATATTTGCAAAGACAGATTTTGATTCTGTATTTAATATTATAAATGAATGTATTGAGTTAGAATAAAAGTTTATAGCGATACAAACTTTAAAATTTAAGCAACTGTAACTTCGTTAAAAATGAACAAAATTTAAATTTAAATAATCGGTTTTAAAGTTCAAATTTGAGCTTTTTTGTGAAGTTAGTAACTTTGAGTCTATAATATATACTTTAGGTTTATCATGTGACCAAAAGAATCGCGGAAAATTTCGACTTCCTAATGTAAAAGCTTAAAATATTCCCTATAAAATTATTTTTTTTTATAATGTTCGTAAGATTTTTTGTTATTGAGTTATTTGGATTAAATAAAAAGAATTTTTTTTACTTCGACTGGTCATAATACTGTTAAAAATCATTATATCGCTATTGAAAAAAGCTGAATTCTTAAAGTTGAAAATGTGCTATGTTGAATGGTATAAAGCTAATTTAAAAATGTAACATGACACAAATGAACTAGCACTACGAATTATTATTCCGGGATAACATTCAAAACAATGTACAGAACACTGTAGATGAAAAAAATTTATTAAATTTTCTGTTTTAATATTATAAAATTCCTATTCTTCCTATATCTCTTTTAACAATTATATCATTATAATTTTCCTGATGTGTATTAATGCATAAATACGATAGTTCTCATCAAAGCTCGAGAAGGGATCTTTATCTAGTGCAAATAACGGTCAATGTAATGCTCAAACCATTCACGTTAAATATGTTATCTTTATAGGACACAACAAGATCACGATTATTTATCGATACGTGATTGATTCGTACTTATGAAATCTCAATAAGTGAAAAAATAATTAAGACACAGTCGTTATTAATTATTAAATCTTCTTCTTTATCGAGGTTTGAAATCTTTCAACGAAACACGTTTATTTAATTAAATGTCATTTATTAAATAATTCATATTGTGCACATCTTGGCACTAGCATTAATGTTCTTTTTTATTGTAAAACATCGATTGATATATGTATAAATTATATATAAAATTACTATATAAAATTAATATATATAATCGATATTAAAAATAAAATCATTGGTAAGAGATGATCGGTAATTCGCGTCAAGTTTCCACAATTTACACATTTTTGATCTTTTTATCGTTTTTTAAGTATACCGTATATATGTCACAGATATCGATATGACAGACTTGCCCGGAAGATGAGGACATCAACAAGTTTCTTTTAATGTGGGAGAAATATTATATTTTATGATATTTGATCAAACACTGCTAATTAAGCATATAATTATTTACTGTAAATTTATTGTAAATTTGTCTACATTGCTCAGATGTTGTTGAAATTAATCTTTTCGTCACAAATTATGCATTGATAGTTAATTTAATATTGATAATAATATATATATATATATATATATATATATATATATATGTATAATATTACCACACACACACACATATATATATATATATGTATATCCTACAAAGAAGTTTATACATACAATAGAATTTTATTTATCTATATAAACATATATTGAAAGACAGAACACACTTTTAAACAGCTAGGATAATAACTCTGATAATAGAAACCGTTATCGCTCCTAGTACGTCAGAAAAATTGAAGTTGAGTCGTCAACTTCTTATTACATGAAAAAATGGTGCCGTTTGGTTAATAACAGATCGGTTAGAAATTTGTATATTTACTGAAATTAGTAAATATTTAATTAAACTTTGAATAATAATGTGACGTATTTTAGAAATTTGTATATTGAATGAAATTAGTAAATATTTAATTAAACTCTGTGAACACACACAATAATGCGTATTTTAATACACATCAGTGGGGATTTTTAGAAAGAAGGAAAAAGTATGGATCAATAATTAATCATTGTTAATTGAAATTTCATTTGACTGAAGATCCCTCTCAATTTGAAATAATTAATTTTCAACCATCTTTTTTAAACACACTTTACCTCTGACTTACTCTGTATAAAGTATTAAATAATAAAAGGATAGTTGTCCACTTTCCTTTCATTAAAATGTTTTGCACTTTAAAATTTAAAATTATTGCATTTTGCACGTAATAACGCGTGATCATTAAAATATATTATAAATATATAAATTTATAATTTAAAGCAAGTATAATGGATCATCCTATTATTATATAATAATAATAATACAAATAAGAAAAAGTAGATTGAGAAGAGCAGACGTATAATTAAAGGAGATAAATTATTTTTAAGATTTTTCATATTAATAATATTTATAAATATAAATAAAATTTAATAATAATAAATTAAAATTAATTTTAATATATTTTACGACGTATGGTAATTTAAATATTAAAGTAGTGTCCGATTATTAATATGACAGTAAGACGTACCATCGTTTAAGCACACGTTTGAGCGTAAAAGGGTGGGAGAGAATCGGTTTTCGGTGATAGTATAAAGCTACGTGAATACAATCGCTGGATCGTAGTCGTTTCTGTAATTTGCTTCAGTGTCAGCTTTATTAGAAGTTCACCATCATGGCGTCTCTACGGAGGAAGAGGGTCTCTATAGTATCTCTCTCGGAGAGGATGAAAGTCCCACCAAACAAACCAACAGGTAATCAGTTAAATAATACGTACATTATGAATCATTTTTAATGAAAATTATCACTTTTCGACCGCTTGTATGTCCAGAACGACTTTACCGATTTTAAATCTTTTTAGCTCAAATTACTCGTGGAGATGCCGCCTTTCAGGACATATAACGTTCGATTCAAATTTTTTTATATTTTAGTAGTTATGCACTTCCGAAAAAAATGGACTTTGGTATGTCGGGATAAGAGACTTGTAGTGTCTTTTAGCTTTTGAATATAGCCGGAGACACTACTGCGTCTCCTGATAGTGTGTACAAATTACTACAATTTCTGTATAAAGAAATATTTCCTTATAATTTAAAAAAAAACAAAAACATTTTGTGACTTAAACCAGTTAAAAAAAATGTTAGTAAAACCCAAAATTATGGAAGATAATTAATATTCATCTAACTTATAATCATAAAAGAAAATTTTCTAAATTATTTGTTATACTTAAAAAGATAAAGAATTGCTATTTTTTGAAATATAAAATGTCTTACAAAATCTATAATTTTAACTTTAATTATAGATATTCCTTAAATTTGAAATAAATATTTTTTAGCAAAAAATATTTCGACGTAATAAATTATATAACTACTTATGAGCAACATTAGAAAATTTAAACGATAAAATGAGTATCAATAATTTTAAATAATCTTCCAAAATTTGAGTCTTTCTTGGTCATAATTTATATATATATATATATGGTTAATTATTATGTTCTTTAGGAATTAAGGACAAACTTACACGTATAAATAAAGTGTAGATAAATAGAGTTTTACTGTATAATAACAATATCATTTTCTAAATACAGAAAACCTTTCACCGAAATACTTCTTTCTTTCTAATTTGATATTCTTTTTTTTTATTTATTATATATTGTTATACCACAATGCTTTTATTCTTAAATCTTTTACAAATTTTACCTGACATTTGCTCGGCAGATGTACAAATTCGATTCTTTTTAATAGTCTCGGTTTTTCTTTCGCATCCTCTATCTTTACGCTAATCACCAAATAAATGGAAAACTTTCTTATATTTTCTAAATAATCGTATAAAATGTGAAAATAATATAAATATTGATAATATAAGTAAAACAAAATACAGATGTGTAAAACTAAAAAATTTTCATCTTTCTCATTACGGATATATTATTAATAATTATTAGATAATATTTATATCAAGACGCTTTTATAAATATATTGTAGACAGTAACTTATCTACGATTAAACATTTTTGATAACAATGTATATAACGCTTATTGAGAATAAAAGAGAGATAAAAAGAAAATAAAAACGTTTATTTTTCTGTTTTAGGCAAACCTTTTAAGAACAATAAAAGTAAGCAAATGAAAAAAAAATATACAATGGAAACAATATACAAATTTATACGAGTTAATAAAGTTGTATGAGAGAGAGAAAAAGAAAGAAAGAGAGAGCTTGATCATTATTTGATAATTGAATTACAAATAAAAATAGAGATTATGGGGAGTGATTGTCATGAATTATGTTAAAACGTGATGCAAACTTTGAATCAATATTGACGCACCTGCCTTTATCAAGTTATTGTTCAGTAAAAAAATATCAATGTTACATATTTATTATTATTCGCTTCGCGATAACTAAAGCACGAACATTTTATGTCTTATTGATGCTTCAGATTCCTGTTATTCTGGAGTAGATATTATTATAAAAGATATCGCTGATGTAGTTTGATAATTAATAAAGAACACATAAAAAATAATAAGAAAGAAAAAAATAAGTTAAAATAACATAATCAATATTAACAATACCACAATTAATACATATTATTTCTTTAATAAGAGTATTTTTTCTAATTT